GACGCCTCCGACACCCGAGTTTAACATACAACTTTCACACTCTAATTTACGTACCATTTTCCTGAAATCGACTGACAATGGCTGGCGAACATTGCGTAAAACGTGATTAAAATACGTTTATATTTATATCCGAAAAAGGATAATTTCTATAGAAAGTACATGTACAAGTTGACTTAGAATCATTTTATAACTAATCGTGTAATTAATAATATAATCATAGTATAGTCAATGAGTATAGTTATTATTACATAATAAATTTTTTTTAATAAATATTTTAAATATATCATTTTATAATGAATGGAACAATAAAAACGACGCAATTCCACATCCTAACCACACATACATACACATGTGGAAAATACGTCGTGCACGATACGCTAACACATTGTCAGTCGCTGAAAAATTTTTTATAAAATTATAAACTATGGTCATCGTGTCCAATGTCTTTCACCCACCCAAGTAGCACCTGGGCACGTGAGTGAGATCCTGACAATGAACACGGAAGGGGTTAAACCTGAAAATCCTGAACTAAAAGAATGATTAGTTTATGTAATTTACATCTAACAGACTGTTAGATTATTTTATTTCAAACTGAATTTACTCTAAGCTTTCAAAAATTATTGAAATTGCAAAAAAATAAAGACAATAAACAAGACTTGAATTTGTTAAAAAAGATACTATGAACAATTAAACAATCAAAGTCAGACAATTGACTCCAAATTAAATACTGATATAAATAATCTCAGGCGACTTCTTCATCAAAGCACATCTTCGAAAATACGAAAGCAGTGTCCAAACTTTGTTGCTTTGATTCAAAAATCTGCCTGTCGCGAAGTACCTTCTTGCACATAAATGTCATACATATTTTTGCGGAAAAAATTTTAATCTATTACATTTCAAATTCTACCGTGGTTTATAATTATAAAACATAATTAATTAAATCATTTAATACCATTATAAAAGGGATGATTAAATTTAAAATTATTAATTACTATAATAAAATATATTATCAGTACCAATAAGTAACTGCATCTTTCATAGCAATGAAATCGGAGAATATCCGTTTTCTCTATTATGAAATGCTCAAACGTCAACTCAAATATTTATAATTCATTATAGTCATATGAAAAGTCATATAGATATTTTACTTTTGCAACCATTTATATTGAAGGTACTTTAATTTTATTACAAACGTATATCCTAATTGTTAAAATCGCGATGTGCGAGAAGCCCTATCCTGATCTAATACATAAAAAATCTGAAAAAAAATGTTACTACTCACGGGTACAAAAAATACCCGCGGTCACTATGCTCATTAAAAATTCTACGTATACAACCAGTCACTCGTGCCGATTCGGACCTTTCGTCCTACGACATGGTTGAGTGACCGGAGGAACACAAATGCATGCGACTCACGGGATAGATGTGAAGAACGTTATCACCGATGCTGCACTGGAGCAGGAGCAAAGTTATCGAGTAGATACCATTGAGAATCCCATGATGTAAGTGAACGCCGTGAAAAATTTCTTAAAAACCATAAAACATTTTCTTTCTAATAACAGTGTTATTTGTGAAATTTTAAATTTTAATAATGATAAAGATTGAAATAATTTGAAGTGTTTTTATTTTAAAATTATAAATTTACATTCAACTGTAGTAGTTTATAAGTATAATTTTACATTCAGCAATAGAAAGAGAACTATAAAGAATAAAATTTGAATACAACGTGCTAAAATACTTACATTTTTAACTTTTGAAGCATCATAAGATTCTTGCAGGATCAGGGGAAGTAGAGACTCTAGGAGATCTGTAACGAAACATTAAACATTAGAATTTATATTTAAAAGCGAAGCAAAATCTCAAGTTGGAGGTAATGAAATATTCTTACATTATTGACTCTAGAGTCACCGTTGGATTTTCCCCAAAAAATGCAAAACTTGATGCTGTGAAGCGTCTGTAACAAACATCAAACATTATTTTTTACTTTGTTGTCAAATTTGAAAAATTGAATAAATTGAGATAGAATATATAAAACTATTTACGATCTTGATCTAAGGAGAGGCCTTATCCTCTTGAGCACTAACTCTAATAACGAAAACGAATATTCGACAAAAGAAAATACAAAAAAATAAAAATGAAAGACTATCAACGCGCGCGTTTAAATAACAATCGATAGACTCACTGACTCTAACTTCGCGAATTACAGTTTGAATGGATTGATTATTTAATTTAATGAGAGCCATTTTGCTCAGAAAAATATAAAAATATTTCGCAACAAACACTGACTCTACCAACCGCATTGCACGCAGTCACAAAAATTTTCTGAAAATAAAGAAATAAATTTTCTGGTTAGTAGAGGAAGAGGGAATGAAAAATTTTATTAAAATATATCAAGCAGTAAAATTATTATTTTAAATATTAAATACCTGCAAACTTTTGGATAATACTTCTTTCTGGATGACTTTTCTGGACAACACTTTCTTCTTTACAGACGAGGTGTGCTTCCTTCCGCCATTTTTGCCGCTTAAAGATCGATCGTGAAAAATATCGATTATTTCGATAATCGTAGGAAGTATAGTTGCATGTTTCACCGTCGAGGCGCTGCAATCGCATGTTTCGCACGAAACGATAACTAGGAATAAAAAATGAAAAACTCTGATCTAAATCAAACACACAAAATTCATAACAAATTCTTTAAAAAACGGTTATATTTACACACTTGATGAAAAATTGTCAATACTTTAAACTGCGATATGAGAAATTTTATTATATTATAATGAGTAGAATTATTATTCTAGCCATTAAATAATAATCCTCAATAAATTATTGTTGAATTTAGTACTGAAATCGTTAAGAATTACACAGTATGAGTTTAAAGAATCAACAAATAAATAGAAAATGTTACAGTAGAAGTAAAAGCATATTACATATAATAAAAAGGTAGTCATATTACAAGGTCACAATATTTATTATAGTTAGAATTGAAATTAAATTTTAATATAAAATTATAAATAACTTTTAGCACAGTATGTTCTGTTTAAATGTTTATATGCTATTATTTCTATAATTGTTGAAAATTATATGTAAGAATTATTTGGTTAATTCTTACCTCGAGTTGAAGGTAGAATTAATCGAGTTGAAGTTGATACTAAAAATGTATGTTTCCTTAAAAATTCACAATACAAACGCAAGTCTAACAACTATCAATTTAAATTTTTAACTTCTGGATGATTCTTCTGGATAATACACTGGATAATACTTTATTCTTTACAGACGAAGTGTACTTCCTTCCGCCATTCTTACCGCTTAAATATCGATCGTGAGAAATATCGATTCGATTCGAAAATCGTAGGAAGTGTATTGCTTAGTTTGCCGTTAGAGCGTTGTAATCGCATGTTTCGCGCGAAATGATAATTTGGAATAAAAAATAAAAAATTAAAGTATTAAAAAACCAGTGAGTTTTTACTATGTCTTATTGTTTACTATGTGTGTGTAAGATGTTTAGTCTATTCATATATCTCGTCTATGGTACTTTGTTGTAAACTTTCATAACGTATTTAAAATGACTCACGTGAAGGTAGTTATGGCAGACGTCGAAGCGACGCGTTTAAACGATCCGTTGAAACTTCCGAATAATTTTGTTGGTTTTATTGTTTTAAGTGTTACACCATTAATATTTAGTGTTATATTCGAAGAAATATGTAGAATTTGAAATACATAACACAATGAAATATGAAGAAGGATCACAATGGAATATGAAGAAGGATCACAATGGAATATGAAGAAGGATCACAATGGAATATGAAGAAGGATCACAATAGAATATGAAGAAGGAATATTGTGAGTGAAACATATAAATTATTTTTAATATTTATTTTATATTACATAACATGACGTTATCTATGACTTTAAATAACAACTTTATATTTATTATTTTTCATTTACAATGTTAAATTACATTTAAAGATTGCAAACAACAAATATTTAAAAATTCAAATGAAGTTCACCTATTTCAGTTTAAGTATTATTAATAGCTATACTTAATTTTCATGTACTGGATTTCAATTTCTAAAATTTTTAGTTGAAACTGTTTTCATTGAATTTATGACGTTAAAATTATATGTAATAATTATTTGATTAAATCTTACCTTGAGTTGAAACCTATTAAAATCTATTTTGATAAAAGTGAAAGCACAACTATGGGAGTTAGCTTACATAAACATCACAGGAGAATGACTTGTTTTTAGAATTATTAAATCAATAATAAAATATACATTAAATATAATAAACATTTGTCTAAGTAGTTTAAAAGCTTTCAATTTTACAATTACGTGATAAACATTTAACACTTCTGTTATCGAATAATTAAAAAATTAAAAACATTAAAATTAAAAATAAATAAATAAAATTGGATTTTTAATAATGAATGCAGCATGAATTAAAGAGCTTCCAAACACCATTAACATCTAGTTAACAGAATAAATATGTGGCATAGTATCATTACTTGCATAAAATCGACTTTAATGTTTGCAAAGTTTCAAAATTTCGATATGCTATCAAACCATTGCTATTCGAAAAATTGGTGGACGTGGATAAATATTTTACATCTATATAATTCGTATCAGGATTATTTACAAAATCTTGAAATTCAATAATACCTCCATTTAAAGAACGTAAAAGAGCTTGTGGACCACATGTATCCCATTTATATGTGGATCCTTTGGATAAAATATAAGCATCGGCCTGACCAAGAGCGACGCTTAATATTTTATAACCAGCTCCAGCTGCTTCTACTAGAGTGAAACCAGCATCTAAAAGTTTACATTTCACATTTTCATCTTCAACTCTACTCAGAATGATTCTTTTTTTGTCAGTGAATTCTTCCATTATAGAACATGTTTTAACATTGTTTTCTACAAATCCCCAATAGCAGTTGCCTTTCCATCTATTAAGTAAAATGTGATATTCATTAACTGCTAATATTTTACAAATATACATTAAACAAATGTAAATTAGATTTCATTTCATTTACTGCAAATCCACATTAGTATAAAAAGGTTGATTGACTACTCCCACAATTGGTATGCCTGTGCTTTTTAAATATACTCCAATCAAAACAGTGACACATCGTAAACCACTCATATGTACACCAGTGGCTTCATCCACCTTTTCACCTCCATTTATATAATCAGCAGTTGAATCTACAAAAGTTCCACGAATTGCTCCTCAGGCATGCTTTATTAAACTACAAAACAAATAGATCATTTGACAAATAATTTGCTTAAGTTTATATATCGTGACAATATCATTAATATATACGCATAATAATAATAAAATAGAATAAAATAAATCATTATAGAAAATGAACAAAAAAGGGATTAATTGTAAAAACAGAGAAACAATAAAATTCAAAGCAACTTTAGATAGAATTTGACATAATAAAAATTAAATTATATGAAAATGAAGATATTTACCATTTAAATTTTCCAGACATCGTTTCAATACAAATACTGGTATTAATATTATTTTATATCTGTTAGATGTATAGTAAATCTTTATTTTAATATACTTGAATTATACTCATGTTTCTTACCAATTGGATCTATCCATATACCAAGATCATAAATGTCAATATCAAAACCCAAAGGTAGTTCTGCTACCATTGGAATATCTAAAAATTGGACATCCTTATGAACTTCAGTAGCTAATAATTCAGCAGTTGCAATATCACTACCCATCACTTTGGCTAATAGTTGAGTAGTTTCTCCAATAGTTGGACATACTTTAACCACTATAGATTCACCCATGGCGTTACTGAATGTATTAGTTTCTTCTCCTTGTACTACCTTAGCGAGTTCTGGAAACTAATTTTCTATCAATGATTTTTGTTTTATTTTTTCTTTGTGAGAAGGTATATCTAGTAGTTTTTAATCTAAACGTATTGAAATAATTGTTTTATGACAGTATTACATATGTTTGTTACAGTATTACAATCTACTATTAATAAATAGGTATTTCTAAACCAAAGAATCAAATCTATACTACATTATATTATATACTATATAACATTTTCTATTAACTTACCTCTAATCCTATGTCATGTTTAATCGTTTCTTGGATAAGAACATCGGCCAAAGTTTTGAAATCTTGGAAAAAGCGTGGATTCTTTTCTGCCTCTGACTTTTCTTGTACAAGCAATTTAAATAAGGCATTATTATGCCTACAAGCTCTTGCAATATTTGCTGCTTTTTCTGAAACTTTCAGAAGGATTGACAACAATCTGCTTCCGTCTTTCATTGTAATAATTAATGATGCTCCAAATTTTAATAACTATAATATCAATAACTTGTTACAATTTAAAAGCTATAAAAGATTTATAAAAAATATTTTTAAAACGATAAAATACACACATTATACCGAATCTGTTAAAGTATGATTTGGCGGGAATCCGTGTAAATTCTATTATATAATTGTAGAATATTGACGTAGCATGAAAACGAACTAGACAATATGTAGGTAGTTACAATTGAGTTTGCAATTCAAACTCAAAGTATCTGAATATTAAAATAATCATTCATGCATAATAATTTCAATGACGCAAGCAGACATTTCCATTTTTATCTTAATCAATTCAATATAGTTTCACCAAACTTGTTGTGTATAATTAAATATGTTTAATGGAAATGATAAAGAAATAATAAATTAAATTTATTATTATGTTTTATTAAATTTTTGAATGATATGTTGACGACAAAACGAATATGTTTTCCAAAAAAATTGATTATATTATGATTGTTCCATTCACTGAAGTAATAGATATAAAATAATACACGATTCAATAAAAATAAAAATTAAGACGTTTATTTACATTAATTTTTATTGTCAAATAGGAAGTATCACTCTTACATTATATCTGAATTTTTACTTCATACGTACACAATGATTCTATTCATTTCCAAACGAGTATAACCTTTCTTGAGTATTAAATGCACCAATATAATTAGTCCATGAAATAGCAAAATTTATATAACATTGACAGTGCATTTTTAGATACACAAATATTTGATTCTTTTTATATATGTTTCTATTTTTATAAACTATATACTACTAAACTATAAACTTAAGTTAATAAAAATAGAATAATTTGGTGCAATACATGTATATAGTATATAATAATTTTAATTTAATAAAAAATAATTCATTTGGATAGTAAAAAAAAAGAAACAGAAGTATTATTTAATTTGTTTTGTACAATATAATATATAAATTCATACATTTATATATATTTATACAATATAATGACAGCAATATTAGGTGGTGGTATATCGGGTTTATCAGCTGCACATTATGCTCTTGAAAATCCAAAATTGGCTCCATTAGTTATATTAGAAGCTTCAAATCGTGTAGGTGGTTGGATACGTTCTATAAAACAACCTGATGGAACAATCTTTGAAACAGGTCCAAGGGTTATTAGAGCTAACTCACATGATTTATTGAACTTAATAGAAGAATTAAACTTATCATCTAAAGTTATTCCTATCAAAATAAATCATCCTGCTGCTAAAAATCGATATATTTATACTGATAATGTATTACATTGTTTACCTAATTCTCTAAAAGGAATTATAACAAGAAATACACTGTTAAATCGTTCTTTAAGTAGTCTTTTATGGAATGATTTCAAAGCAACAAAAGTTCATAAAGATGATGAAAGCATATATAGTTTTGTACAAAGAAGATTTGGCAAAGATGTTTCTGAAAAGATGGTTGCACCGATATTATGCGGAATTTGTGGTGGTGATATACATCAATTAAGTGCAAAATCTTTCATGACGAATATATTTGAAACTGAACAGAAATATGGCTCTGTATTTATGGGTCTTGTACAGAAAAAATTTTCAAACATATTAAATATAAAGAAAGAGAAAGAAACTAAATTAGGAAACACCAATAAAACTCAGAAAGTAGTAAAATCAAATAATACATCATTGCACTTAGTAGAAAGAGCTAGAAAAGAAAAATGGAGTGTATGGGGACTTGAAGGTGGTTTTGAAAAATTACCTCAAACACTAGCTGAAAATATTACAAAGCGTGGTGTGAATATAAAAATGAAACATAATTGTGAACGAATCACATTTAATAAAAATTATGTAGAACTAATTGTAAATGGAAATGTTGAAAAATATTCTCATGTTATATCAAGTTTACCTGCTAAAAATTTAGCTAATTTAATACAAAAACAACATCCAGAACTATCTAAAGAATTGTATAGTATACCTACAGTAACAATAGCTGTAGTCAATCTTCAGTTTTCTGAAAATGTTTTACCAATAGATGCTTTTGGAGTCCTTATTCCACCAAAAGAGGAAATTCCAATTTTAGGCATAATATTTGATACATGTGCTCTTCCTCAAAATTCCAAAATGACAGTATGTATAAATATAAATATTTATTACACCAGCTTAATATTTTTTATGATAAATTTTTTAAAAATGTAGCCTTGTATTGACAAAATGATCTTTAATATTTAAATAATTTTTTACAAATTTATAATAGACTAGAAACATTTCTTGTTCGATATATACAATTTTCTCTTTAAATCCAGGTACTAACAGTAATGATGGGTGGTGCATGGTTTGAAAAATATTTTGGTAAATGTTCATCAGAAGAACATTTAAAAATGGTAGCAGTTAAATATACAAATCAACTTTTATCCATTAATGAAGATCCCAAGACATATAACGTTTCCATTCTAAAAGACTGTATTCCACAATATATAATAGGTCATGCAGAACGTTTAACTCGCATCCACGATTATATCTCCGCGCATAAAATACCTTTAGCATTGTGTGGCTCTTCATATCACGGTGTAGGAGTCTCTCATGTTATTCTGTCAGCAAAAGAAGCTGTTTCTAATATCAATCAATGTATGATATAACTATGAAATTTAATCAATTTATCTTTTCTTATTTGAAAACGAAATAATATACATGCAAATACATAAGCCAAAATAGTTTTTTTTTTTAATTAACTACAATTTAATTTGAATTAAAACATGCATTGTTCATGCTACATAATAAAAAACAGAGCAATTTATACAATAAATTAAAAATAATAAAAACTAAAGGAAACATTATAATATACGAATTGAGTGATAGCTCAAAATTGATTGCTTGAGTGATAGCAAAAAATAAACATAAATTTTAGTAATAATATACATGAAAATATACAAAAAAATATACATAAAAATAGTTATTTCAAACCAATTTAATGGAGCTGTGAAAAAATTTTTTGCTATTAAAATAAAATGTATATATGTATTTTTATTATAAAATTATGAATAAAATAAAATATAAAATGTTTAATGAAGATATAAATTTTTGTTTTATATTCTGTTTTACACATACAATATTATTAATACTACAAAATAAAATGAAATAGCAGCCACAAAATAATTAACATAGTTTATAATAAAACTAAGTATTCTAGGAACTCAAAAATATGTGTTTATATATGTATTATATATTATATATTATATAAAAATATGTTTAAAAAAAGATTTAAGCAATCTTAAATATATCATTATCTTTTAATTATGTAGATAAGCAAGCATGAAGTATCATAAAAATGCAGCACACAAGCATATAGCATTCCATACTTGTAAATAAATCAAAACTGTGCAGCTACTATAATACAATAGTTATTTTTAATAATAGCATTATATAGACTCAATAAAATAGACCATTTATGTTCAAATTCTGCAACTTCTTCAAAATTTATTTTTAATAATAGTATTATATAAACTCAATAAAATAGACCATTTATGTTCAAATTGTGCAATTTCTTTAAATATCATAAAAAAAATCTCTAATAAAATAATAAAGTCAAGCACAATAAAAATTTTTTGTTATATGCTTTGATATGAAATTTACTGACTAACAGTACCTGCATATTTAACTTCATCGAATGCTTTTCTAGCTTTCTTTAATTCTTCATTCATTGTGAGGAGATCTTTGACTCTTGCATATTTCCTAGGATCTTTTCTAACTGTAAAATAAGATTTTTTAATTAAATAAACCAATTTTTAATTTATAAAATAGTAATAATTTAAAATATATTATTAAGAAGTTAATAAAGTAGGTTGTCCCAAAAGTTTCTTTCATGCAATGTTAAGATTTGCATGCAGAACTTGAAACAAAAATTTATATCTTTATTAAACATTTTATATTTTATTTTATTCATAATTTTATAATAAATATTCTAATTCATCCTCCATACTCTTCAAATATTGCATTTGATTACTATTTGTTCTTAAAAAATTTAGCTCAATAAATGACAAATGGCTACAGAAGTTTTAGAAAGATAATTTTTGGAGAAATGAAAGAAGATAAAAGATCAAAATAATGATCAAAAAAATTCATATAATTTTACAATATGATATAAAACATAAAATAGTGTATAATATATCCGTTATTTGAAACAAAAGAAATTTTTGAGACAACCAAATAGATATTGTTGTTGACCTAAAAATACAACATCCTCTACTTGTACACGTCCAGTACGACCAATTTCCATAGCTCTGTGTGTCATTTCCGTAATAAATTCAATGACTAAATCTTCTAACAAATCTACACTCTCTGTATAAGGATTTTGATCATCGCCAAAACCATACATCATACAGCGTAATTCTTTCGAAAATAATCGTTTTCTACCGCCGGGTAAAGTTCCGCCAATCGGAATTTCTGTCTCTTCATCTTCGAACTAGGAAAAACAATTTTCGTGAATAACGTTTACTGATAATTGTGTTTGCTAATTTCAAAGACACATGCTTATTAAATTTATTTTCAACATGTTTGAAAGAAACAAGATTAAGGTTAGATACTTTATATTAAAAATTGAACATTGAATTAAATATAGTAAGAAATTTTATAAAAACCTGTTCAAAACCTTCCTCTGTGGCCATTATTTGATATAATTATAAGAATTTTATAAAAATTCAAGAAAGGTTTTATTCAGTGAAAAAACACAAAACACACTAAAAAGTGGCGTTGTGAAAGTAATGTCAATCGTTACCCCAAGTTAGAAATTAGTATAGTATAGTATAGTATATACGACAATAGTGTTCAATTGGTTTTAATAGTTTTCGAAAGTTAATTGTGAAGAATGATAAATATCTCAAAGTTTAAGGGGAGAATTTGAAAAATATTGAAGAATTATGTCGGCAGTAATTCCTACAGCCAAAACTTGGAAGGAAACCAATCGTTTACATAAAGAACAACGAAAAATATGGAAGGAGGAGAGGTTAGCAAAAAAGCTAAAGAAAGAAGAAACTAAAAAAGAATTGCAGAATGAAGTGATTAAAGTTGCTGAAAAGCAATTCGAAAAGAAAGACATTTCGACTCTGAGTATCGCAGTTCCAGGCTCGATTTTAGACAATGCTCAATCGCCAGAATTACGAACATATTTGGCAGGGCAAATAGCACGTGCAGCATGTGTTTACAAAATAAATGAAATCGTCGTGTTTGATGATAAAGGAGAGGTAACTGAAAGTGAAAAGAAAAAAATAAAGACTGACGAAGTCTTAGGTGAAAGACGAGTTGGATGTTTGCAATTGGCTAGAATATTGCAGTATCTTGAATGTCCGCAATATTTAAGAAAATATTTCTTCCCAATCCACAAAGATTTACAATATGCTGGAGTATTAAATCCTTTGGATGCACCACACCACTTACGTCAGCAAGATGTGTCTTTATATAGAGAAGGAGTAGTTACAAATAAACCAGTCAAACCTGGCAAAGGTTCTTACGTAAATGTAGGATTATTAAATGATGTTTGTGTGGATAAAGTGTTAACTGATGGATTAAGAGTTACAGTGAAGATACCTGAAGACCAGTCAAATCCAAAAAAATTAAAAGGATATATTGTTCCACCTGATGTTCCCAGATCAAATAATGGAATATATTGGGGATATTCAGTGAGATTAGCTAATAATCTTACAGAGGTATTAACTCAATGTTCTTATAAGGATGGATACGATTTGACCATTGGTACTTCAGATAAAGGAAATTCTATTGATGATGTGGAACCAAAAAGTATCAAATACCATCATGCTTTAATAATATTTGGAGGATTGTCTGGATTGGAAGCAGCAGTAGAGAGTGATCCTAAAGTGGATGTGGATGATATTTCTTTAGTGTTTGATCATTATTTAAATACTTGTCCACAACAAGGATCAAGAACTATTAGAACAGAAGAAGCTATTTTAATTACTTTAGCAGAATTAAGGACAAAATTGTTTCCCAAAGTTCCTCCGTAATCAAATGCTCAGTTTAATAATTTTGTAAATAATTAAACCATCAGTGAATATAAGTGACTGTAAGTAATGACACAAAAATTATAAAAATTTGCTTCTTTATATTTCTTTTTTCATTAAAGATTGTATACAAAACTTTATGTTTCCAAAATTTTTTAATATATAAGTACAACAATCTTATATTTAGGAGATAATTTTCTTTCCTTTTTATTTTCAACTATTTTGCAACGCACAATTTACTGTATCTCTTAAAGTTCTGATAACTTTTGCTTGATCAGAAGAACCTATGACGGCTGTTCCAGAAACAATCATATTTGCACCAGCCTAAAAAAAAAATATACATGTATGTAGTTTCTTTTGATTAGAGTATACACTAAGATATATATCTACTAAATTGAAATATATACATTTGCACAGGCATTAATAGTTTCTGGTCCAACACCTCCATCAACTTCTATATCCAATGTAGGATAATTTTTTCTAAGCCATGATACTTTTTCCATCATTGGTTCAATGAATTTTTGACCACCAAAACCTGGTTCTACAGTCATAATTAATACCATATCTGCTAGATCAACATATTCTACAACTACATCTACCGGAGTCCCTGGTTTAAGTGCTACGCCAACCTTTCATTTAAAAAATGATGCCTTTAGTATAATTTTTAAGTAAACAAATTTAATTTAAGAGATTATATAGAATACATACTTTCATTCCTGCTTCTCTTACTTTTCTACAAATTAATGGAACATCCTTCACTGGTTCAACATGAAATGTATATTGGTTGACACCAGCATCAGCCATTGGTTCTATCCACTAAAGTTAAAAATTTATTACAAATATTTTTTCAAAAAGTGTCAATAAAAATAATATACAATTTAAATTAAAGCAATGCCAAAGTAAAATATACCTGATTAGGATTAGAGACCATCATGTGCGTTTCAAGAAAAGCATCTTTTACTTTACTTCGAAGACATTTTACTAATGGGTGGCCAAAAGTAAGGTTAGGTACAAAATGACCGTCCATAACATCTAAATGTAAATAATCAGCACCATTATTAATTAATCTTTGCGATTCTTCCGAAAGTTGTGCCAAATCAGCGTTGAGAATCGATGGTCCAATTTTTGCAACCAATTTTTTTGCCATTTTTCAATTAGAAAATATTACAAACATATGACACGTGTTTTTAGTAATAATGATGTAGCGTTATCGGCTGGACTAATGATCTTTTGTACAAGGTCATTTTTTTATAACACTTATAACTTATTGCATTGGTTAAGAAATTGAATAAATTGAATATTTATTTAAAAATTTAATTCAATTCAGAGAAATTAGATAGTGGAAAATAAATACAGCACAAATTTATAAACATTGTACGAAATGAAATTTATTTATTTATACATAAAAATATAGCAGTTCATAATAGGCAATAGATTACGATAATTTCAAACGAATAAGAAACTAAAATACTCAAAATAAGTAAAAAGTACTAATTAATACTAATAAGTAATAAGTAAAAGAAAAATCGAAGTCGGATGATTAGCGTGTTTCTTTTCTATCGAGTTTTCTAGAATTTAGCAGTTGATTTTCTCTTTAATCAAAGCTTCTCTTCCGTTATGCTTGCCTACTGAATTCACTTCCAATGTACATATACAATAAATAAATAATTCGTTTAAACTATAATACCTCATTCGAGAGATACCGCAGTATAGATAATAATTAAATATTAAAATAGTTTTAAAAAATCGCTTTAAAATTGCTAAATTTTTATCATAATCAAATACAAAAACTCTTTGGCATCTTAATATCTATTATAGAACTTTAAGTAAAATAGCGGCTGCGTTTTAATCAATAATTACTAAATATAGCGTCGTTGATTTTTAAATGCATTGTCATGTGTTCAGTATCGTAATATGTATAATCCTATATATAATGCTTATACTGAAAAAACAATACCATTTGAACGCTAACAAAGAGCGAAATTTAGCGCAAGAAGATTGCGGCATATCATACAATGATAGCCCGAGATCGGACTGACTGGGTTCATTTTTGGGACAATTGTTTAGTTGACTGTTCGAGCCACTTCCTTTTCAGGCTGAAAAATAAAATGAGAATATGTTTATTTCAATTATTTCCTAATTTTACAATTAAGAAGTTCTTCCTTCTTTTTTCTTTTATTAAGATTATGTTTGTATTTTATTAAAAATCGCTAGGAAATTTTAATAATTTTTTTTCTATTTTATCAATACTAAATTATTAGATTTAAATAAAAATATAGGGACCTACGCGTAAAGGGTAAAGGAATGTACTGACGACTTGTTGTTGGTTTTCAGACTTGGCTTGACAAGTATAGCCACCCATGTCTTCCCATAAGAGTTCCTCTATCAATAAGTCACCGCTACTCAATACTTTGTGTCGCAAGTTAGTTGATAGGCTTAGAGGTACGTTGTAGTTATCCAACCAAGTGATTTGTGGTGTTGGTTTTCCACTTGCTCTGCAGGGCAATATAACAGTCGCTCCAATATTGGCTACCAATGTTGGCGAGTAAAGGGTGATTATTGGATCACTCTCAGAACTGCAGTTGCCGGTACTACCCTCATCTGTATCAAACAAGTCGTTAAATGATAAATTTTTGTCTTTTGAACTGTTCGAAATTATTCCAGTATTATAAAAGAGTCACAACGAGTCAAAATGAATTGCAATTGAATCCATAGTACCATTTGATGAGATTCAAATCGTTTCATTATTATAATCATATAAAAAAATAATGAGCTGATGATGACAACTGATGTTGAATTTGATCGCCAAATTAATATATGGGAAAAAGTGAAAAGAGAAAGCGAAATATATGAATAAATTATAAAAGAAAGGAGGGTTGCATGATAGTTGGTCAAAGCTTCATGTTAATGCAGTTTCAGATGATTGACAGTTAATTGTTAATTGTATTCCACTTACGGTTAACCAGCAGCACCGTAGGAGTAGAGATCTTCACCTCTCTCGCAGAAACCGACGCACAGTAGATCAATCCAGCATCATCTGGAGTAACGCATTCTATCACGAGTTTCGAATTAATTCTGGCCACTCCTTTCCACTCTTCAGATGGATCATACAAGGAATGCGTGCTGGCTTTCACGTACGCGGCCAACTATTACAAAAAGAACATTAAAAATTAATAATCTCTTCTTTCCTCTTGGTCGTATAATATCAGAACTGTGTCTGGTTGTAATACTTACATCTTCATAGCTGCCGCTCCCCGTGAACCAGAAAATTTCCGGTGGGGGGCTGCCACTAGCTTTGCATTCCAATTCCACTTTACTTCTATAATAACAGAGAAAAAAAAAGCAGTATTATCGATGCGATTGTTACATTTATTCTTTTGTTATCTTCGATATATGATACTTACCCCAAAGTAGTCTCGATGCCGTTTACTGGGTTCTGTGTGATTTTGGTCCATGGTTCTACAGGCTGAGAATCAAAATACGTTGAATTTTATCGAGAATGTATTTTCAAAATAATTATTATTTTATATTCTTGCTTTACTTATATTATAATATTGAGTCATATGTTCTTGAAATTTTTTTCTATTTAGAATTCATCTATTCTTTTAAGTTCTCCCTCTCTTTCTCTCTCTTTCATAAGAGTTTATTTCTCGAAATAATAGAAAAACGAATCGATCAATTATGTTTACTTTACCTTTCGTACACCATAGTCCAATGGTGTTAGGAAATTGGAGCTGTGCTCTATTATTTGCCTGCTTATGCTCCTACGTTCTGCAGCTCGTTCGACAGCATGCCGTGGCAGGAATGAAAAGGGATGTCCCGAAACCGTATATGATACGGTGATAATGTAAACGAGATTAATCAGTATTGAACACGATCGCATCTATAATAAAAATAAAAAACAAGACTGAATGGCGAAGTCGATATATCGTTAGCAATTATGATCGGTAACGTTACGAGCTAACAATGTTACATCAAAGAAACTAATTTAATGAATGTGAAAGGACATTGTGCAATGATTGAATCAGAATGAAGCCGAAGAACACTAACGTCACGATCCTTTCGCAGAAATTGGACCGATTGAATATAACAATGCGGATTTAATTGTCGGGTTAGGTGCGCGATTTATAATATCGATTCATTCGACCTTCCTTCGAGGATACGAATAAACACAATTGGCAACAATGAAATTAAACTCTTGAGAATGCGATGATAATTAAATATCTCTGGTAATAACCAGAATATATATTCTATTCTTTCTCTTTTCTACTTCGTCCTTTATCGAACCGTTATTAACACCATTAACGTCATTAATTTCGTTTAATAATTTCGCCAATACAAGTTAATAATATTACGATTATTCCCTCGGTTATATGATTGCCGCGTTTTTCCCACCACTTCGGCATTCATCCCGTAATGGCCTCGTTTATAATCGAACGAAAGTGTACGAAATTTTTACGAATGTATATATCGCTGATAACGGTCAAAATTGTATAGGCAATCCTGTAATTTCGAAATTACATTTACAAATACACATATAGGTATATCGTGTGACGACGATTTTGAAACGATTTCGTGTTGAAACTAACGTGAAATATATATGGCGTGCTGGATGGATCGTCGGATCAGTCGCATGGCCTGCTCGTTAATGTGAGCATCGAAATCACCAAATTAGGGAGATTTCTTTATCTATTGTATTTTATTATCGTGTTATAGAAGACGAGACACTTGATACCTTGACCGCGTATCCTTGTGACGATGAGTCGACAACGTGTCGCACGAGGAATGTCTGATTTCCGAATGACATCTCTCGCTTCAACCGAAACCTGTGTCTCTCACGGTTCCTCCACTTCGACACGTTTCGGTTTGGACTTTAGAGGCGTGTACGTGCTGGCCGCGTCGTTCACCGTGACTTTGAAGCGTTCCCTCACGGAACGTTATTCTCACGAAGTTCACGAATAAAATTTAGATGCTACCGCATCATTTTATCTTCGGCGTTCTCGTCCCGCGTTTCTCCCCTTTTTCTTCCTCTCAGTCACTCAGTCAGAGAGTCTTTGTGAGAGGAAGGAGGAAGGTCACGCGTACTGTTTAAAGGAGATTAAGTAACTCGGCTGTTAACGAGACAAGATGTTTGGAAATGAATTCGCGCGAACGTTAATGAACACACATGCGGTGCAAAAAAATAAGGGAGAATCTCAAGACGATACGATGCGACATAATGTGTGCGCACGTGTGTGTGTATGTGTGTGTCTCGCTTTCTTTTTTATTTTATTTCTTCTTTTTATTTCTTCCCTTGGAAACACTTGCATACAGCGTGTCCCGAGCAGTTAAAAGTGGTTGAAACTTCCAAAACGGTTTCGCAATAAGATTGGTACTTAATATCTTCAATTTTTTAATAAGGAATAAATTCAATCGATTGTGGAAAGAATCTTATCTAGAATTTTATCAGTAATTACTTGTGTAAGCAGGAAAAACGTGTTACATTTTTTATTCATAATTTAATTCAAGAGATCAAATCCAGTTATATTGGAGCCAAGAGTCAAAATACGAATAATCAAACATTTTTATGTATTTGAATGTAAAATTAAATGTTATAGATGTATTGGTTGAAAATTTATTCTAAATTTATTTTGTGTCATTGACTATGATACTTGCATATTAATTACTTACATATTGCACGTTAAAATAATTTGAAATTTTTTGAGAAAGTTAATATTAATCGATGTTAATGAAAATGTTTGATTCATATTTTGCCTAGTTTCGATAATAAAAAAGATTAATTACAGTGTGTAATAGTGCAATTCTGTCAAAAATTACGACATACATAAGTAACGTTGTTGGAATGTAATCAAAAATTGATATGGCCACAGGTAGATGATGTTATCACAGGCCAGTATTTAAACATCTCTAAATCTCTTCGAGAACGATCACGATCAAATTAAACGGAAAGTGTCGAGCGATTTGATTTGGAAAGTAGGATAAATCGTCTAGTCTATGATATCTAAAATCGGGAAAGTTGTTGAAAAATTCGCTCGTTAAAGTGTATGTACCTAAAAATAGAATGCAGTTCTCTGCACGTTATCTGCTTTCGAGGGACCAAGGGATATAAATTGAAAAATCTACTACATTCCTATTTAAAAATTTATGTCGTCTGTCACTTTTTATAGTTACCTCTCCTATTTATACAAATTTCGTCTATATAGTGTCTCTATTATTTTCCTCACATAGAATCGATTTACACGTGGTCTAAAGTCGAAAATTTTCACACCGAAATGTATGTATCATATATTCTGTTTCGAGAATTCCTTTTCGTTTTCTTACCTTAAAATCACGATGGATAATTGTCACACGTAGATAAAGTCCGTAAAAATATCGAATCTAGTACTGCTATGAGATAGAACTTTCGATAAAGATACTCGCGTCGGAGATGCTTTCTAGGAGCGCACATCACGGGAGAAGGTTTCGAACCGAATGATGCAACTTCTTATACAATCTTCGCATCTTCCCTATGATCTCGCGCCCTCTTTCCGCGGAGCCCTTTAACGCATCGTAATCTAGAGATGATATCAGTCAGCCTGTAAACTACGATAAGGAAATATGCAATATGAAACGCGAATCACGAAATGGGTTAAAATTTTCATTCTTTCCTCCTATTTTGTTCCTTCCTTTTTTTCTTTTCTTTTCTTTCTCTCGAGGTATATGCATTTAAGAATATTTTCAAAAAATAAGATTTTTTTCTGTATTAACTTTTCCTTTTTTTTCCTACGTTTGTAAGACATTACATTATATTCTTTCCAAAGAATAAAAAAGACAATGTGACATGTTCTCAAAGAAAGGAAAAAAAAAAACTAAAAAAGAAGAAAAAACCAAATAAATCAGATTTCACCGAAGACTTTCTCCTTTCTTTTTCAAATAAAATACATCGTCGAAAGTTAGTATTAACGATGGTTTATTGGCAGTCCGAGAAACTAGTCGATAATTCTGATTTTTATGACCTGTGATCGAGGATCCACGTTGGGAAAGTCACAGACTTACCATTTTTTTCACTTTCTCTTGGAGTTCGAAAATGACAGTCGACGTTTACTATTAATCGACAGTTTGTCAGCAACGAATAAAAATACTGACTGAGCGTAGAGGAACAGTTATTGACACATTTATATATTTCGAATGTAGGAATGGGCGCCCTCGCTTACATTCGATTGGACGAGACAGCGAGGAGTAGGGCAAAAAACCACACCAAACAATTGAATTCATTATCCCCGCGTCTCGTTTGTGCACATGTAATAGTCGTATCCAATTTACTTCCACCCTCATCTATGCCCATCATCGATTTTTACTTCGATACAGCCACTGCGATAATTACTTTTATTGAAACTAATCGTACCAAGAAAGAGGCGTTCACAATTACCCCCAACCAGCATCTTCTCGGTCAGATCCAACCGGTACGAAAAGACTGTCGAAACTTCAATTTGCCGAGGTGTTTAACATTTAAACACGTGAACCATCATGAATGAGCTATGATGAATAATTGTGTGGGTCTCTGATTAATTGAAAGACTATCGTAACGAATTGATCTTATTGAATTCCCGATGCCATTGACTTATCAGCAAGTTCCAAATCATTTTTAATGAGCTTCTTCTCTAAGTCGTCGAGCAATTTTTGAACTTTAAATTATTTATTTACGTAAAAACATGTATTTATTTAATATGTTATTTTAATGTTTGTTTGCAACATACGTAATAATTTACATAATATTTTTCATTTTTAATTTAACAAGATTATATTACTTCGGTATATCTATAATCATTGATTTTATCTATATACACTCATACATAAAACATAATGGTAAAAAATTTAGTTCGTTCGGTTCTTCGTAACTTGAATTCTTCGAATAGATAGCGTATCGGTATGCCATGGGAATAGGGAGCTTGAAAACTAGAAAATTTCTTATGGTATGTGTTATATCATATATACATATGTATACATATAATTCTATGTGTGTATTTAATACACGTGTAGATAATATAAAAAATTTTAAAAAAGAATTGAAATTAGAAATGTTCGAATTAATTTGCTATAAAACATTCAATTATATATATGGGATAGAGTTAAATTATTTCAAGTTGAAAAATATGACCATAAATATAATAATATTTATGCTTTTATGTTCCATAAATCTATGTAATTATTAACTTATTATTAACTTAAATTAAAATAAAAAAATACGTGAAAGAAATGTTATCCTGTTATAATATTAATAAAAATTGCATTGAACGGGTTTAATTTAGAATAAAGGATAAAAAGAATAAAATAAAAATTAAATCGATTATACATCAATGGAAATGAAATCATTTAATCGTAGAGTATGTGAGTATTAGAAAGTAAAATGAAATTACATTTTTTTTAATAAGCAAACCAAAAAGATATATTTTGATATAACACGTGTCGTGTTTTTCTCAATAGAATGCAGATTTTTCAATTTTCGTCCATTATTTTCATTAGTTCATGTTTGGACAGTTTGATTACCTACTGAGATAATCTGCAATCGCGAATTACAATCAGTGGATATTTTAGTGTCAAGGATGACCGAAAAGAAATGTCATCGATCTATTGCGTTATGTTATGTTAAGAGGAAGAGTTTTATTTAATCGCAACATACAAAATTTCTAAATATTTATACAAAATTAACGTGATTTAAGTTTCAGAAGAAAAATATAGGTTTGAATATTTTGTAAACATATTAAAAATGTACAAGAAATTTTATTTATGCTAGTTTGTTTATTTATACATTATTTAACATTGAAATAAGTGGTTATATTTCGTTTGATGTTGATTCTATTTCAATTGCGTTTAATAATTTAGCTGTATTAATGATATCTCCCTCTATATTTTTTAAATTTGTGTCAATCTCTTTTACACCTTGCAATACATCTTGCAAAATCTGCGAATTAGAAAGAGCAAATTGTTATAGTATGTTGTAGTTAATTCATATAAAAATATACATAAATATATTTTTTATGAAACTGAATAAAAATCTTATCATAAGAAAGATATGACAAATATTATAAAACAATATTTTTTTTATTGTAAATATAACCTCTAACCATTTTTATGTTTTGATAAAGTAACATAGTATTTTCTTCTTTATACTGAAAGGGAGGTTCATAAAAAGATGCTGAAGACACTGATCTATCGGTCATGTTCAATATATTATTCTATTATTATTTGAATCTTTATTACTTTTATCTTGCTGTTTTTTTTTGAACTTAACCAACTCTGTCAAATTCTGCTTATATATTTTAGTTTTAAATTCCCTAGCGATTCTACAGAGAAATATTTCTAGTTTGACACACTGTGCAAATACACCTTTATTCTATAGTCAGATAAATTGTACAAGGAAATCAATTAATTATTATATTACGAATCGTTATACTTTATATATCACGTAAAAATAATTCTATCTGCAAAATATACTATTTTATTTAATTTTTGTTAATCTATGATATTGATTTTATGTTTCGAATAAATTTCAAAGAGTGCGCTGATAATTCTACGTATTTCGTGTTCACTTGTCTTTCTAAGATATAATAAGTTTAAACTGTTATTATGCTGATTGTCAAAAGAATGTTAAAATAGGTTACGTGAGAAATGATATTAAATGTGTATTAATATTTGCTATTAAATATAGAAGTAATTCATCAACATGTATGTCTTGATATGACGTATAATGCACAAAAACAATTTAGACTGAAGATGTAAGTTAAAATTGATTCCTTATTATTTTGTTTTCAATTCGTGGTAAATTGTATGAGTTTTTAAAGAATGAGCCTTCAACTTTAATGTAATTGACGACATAAAATTAAAAAAATTCACGTGTATGATACACTATTGCAGGGCTTAAGAACATTTTTCTTAGATGTTATTTTAATTGTATAAAAGACTATAAAATGTGTTCAATTATAGTTACAAATGCATATTATTGAAGGTATAATTTCTCTTAATGTTGATGTAGAAAGATTATCTTAAAATATTTCTATAAGCAATTATAATGGAAGCACAAACAGATACTTCTGTTTTGCGACCTCCAGTTACTTTAAGAAATATTAATACTGGCAATGGTTTTTATACACCTTTAACTTCATTTGCTGGTATGTACATATTTGTAAAAATAATTCCAATTATTTAAAATTTCTTCTAAGCTTTTTCTTTTAAATATCTCTCTTGGTGTCCGTAAATTTTACAGAAATGTGGTATCACATATTTTTATGGGCCCTATTTTCTTCAATTTTTGTTCACACTATAGCTGGTGCTATTTGTTTTGCTACATTAAGACAACATAAATATGGAAAGTGAGTATAAATTTACTACATTGTTCTAATGTAGATAAATAAATTTATAACATAATAAATAATATATTGTATTAACTGATTAAATTAACAAGTTAAATATAAAAAAAGATTAAATTTTTGATGTCTTTAAAATAACTAAATAAATTTTCATTTAAAGATTCTTCCCATTGCTGATTATAATAATGGGCATATTATTGCCACTAACATCAGGAGTTCTTAGCTCTGCTGCTGTTGCTTTTGTATACAGAGCATCTCGATATCCACTGCCACCATTGTACGCATTATTTTGGGGTATTGGTCAAACTGTTGTAGCAGGATGTGTTGGATTCACAAGGATATTAGCAACTTTATAATGTGAATCAAAGTTTGTAAATAAATGAGCCACAAGACATTATTATTCAGGAATATTGTATGTAATATATAATGAGGAGTTTTAAAATTTGAAAACAAATAGTATTTTGTTTTAGTATTAGTAATAGTAATTATATAGTATTAGCAATAGAAAATAGAGTAATGAAATTTGTACATATATGAATGTATAATATTGTACAAATGTATTGAAAATTAGGATTAAAATAATTATAAGATTTTCAAATTAAAATGTCAAAGAATATTATTTACTATTTATGTAAAAATGAATGATTTCTAATATAATTTCAATTATTTTTTATTTTTTTATAATGTATTGCAATTTATTGCATATATTGTAATTTATTGCAAAACATAGTATAAAATTCCTGAATATATTTTTATACAAAATAATAACATTTATATTTATATACAATCATGTGTATTTATTCTCTTGTGCTTTATCACTTTTTAAATGTTGTTTGTAATTATTTGCAATATTTTTAATTTCTTCTAATCCAGTTTGTAATTCCTTTTGAATATCGAGCTTCGTTTCTTCATCTGAAGAAGTTAAACTTTTTAGCACCATATCTGTAATATAAATATAAGTATTGCAAGTAACTATATATTAATAATGTAATGATGTTAAGTTATTAAATATTTCGTACCGTGGTATTTAGATAATATTTCCATTGTTGAGAGTTGCAATTGTGTTTGAAGAAATGAAAGAACAGTAGATACATGTCTTCCAGACATATGTATAACATTTTGCGTTGCTGCTGTAAATAATATACTTGTGATTAGATGTAGTGCTAATGCAGGATCTTGAGTAGTATTAAGTTCTTCTAGTAAGGCTTCTTTGTGACCCAAAATAAATGGTCTTTCCTTCTTTTTATCATATTTTTTTAATACTAAACAGCAACTTGCCATTGCTGCATCTACAAAATTTAGGAAATCATCTATAGAATTTCCAGCAATAGATTTGTGTATATTAGTTAAAGGTTCTTTCACATCTTCTGGCAAATCAAGCAACATTTTTTGCCTTGTCTCTGTGGTAATATTCTCAGGGAATTGAAGCATATTTTGTTGAGCAGCTAATTTAAATAACTCATTTACAAAGTCGGTAACAAGAGACTTTAGTAAATACTTCGTTAAGGCAGGTTGATCTGTTTTATCTATATGTTTAATGCCTTTGTCAAATATCTTAATATTTGTTACTAGAACATTTAGACGTTCTTCAACTTCGCTTAAATTTGTAGTTTTGTTGTTTTGTGCTAACTGTTTTGCAATAGATATAGCATAGTTATTTATTTTTTGTTCTAAGTATAATGCTAATTCATCTACCAAGTCATCAATTACTGACAAATTATCATCTTTCGCAATTTCAGTTTTAATATCTTCTAAAGATATTAGTTTAAGTTCAATTTTAGTTGATAGAACTTTTGTATTTTCATCATCAGATTCGCCATCGCGATTTTTTCCTTGTAAATATTTTTTTTTAGTAGATTTTGTTTTTGTCTCCCGTCCTTGAGTACCACCACCTATTTTGCTAGTTATTGCTTTTTTCCGACGGTCTTCTTTTTTGTTTGCTTTATTTTCAAATATTAAATCTGCTGACTTAGATTTAATCCTGTTTTCTGCTATTGTTTGGAACCATTGTCCACTAGCTACTGCTTCTTTAGCTTTTGCTTCTGCTATCGCTTCAAATGATTTATTTAAAGATTGTAAAAATGCATCAGAAATTACAATAGTTTTTGCAAATACGTGTGTGTTGTTATTTATTTTTTTTTCCGCGATTTTAAGAAGCATTTCCATATCTTTATCAGAAAATACAGATGGTAAAAGAGGACTTATATCAATAAAAGATCCAGTTATAATAGCTTCTTCAATATTTGAATCTATTTGATCTCTAATACTTGTACCTACTGCAACAGAATGTAAGAAAGCTATATTTTCATTTGGAAAATGACGTCTAATAAAATTTGCTGGATCTGATATACCAAGACGTGTAAGCGCATCATATTCTGAAAAATTACATTTGCATAAGACATATTTTACATTTGCTATTATTATATTATAAAATTATTTCAAAACAAAATATAATACAAACCTAAATAACCATTTTGTTTGTAAAAATTATCTACCCATTCATTTTGACTTTTAGAATATATACTTGGTATATAAAGACTATTTGTTCCTTGCTTTCCTGCTACAACACCAGGAATTTGTTTCATTTCTTGTAAGCTATCAAGAATTGCTAAAAATATAGAAAATTATTATGGACATTATATTTCATAATTATTATGGACATATATTTCAATTTCATACTTTATATTAGATATACTCACAAAAAAATATTCTTTCAGAAACAGAACATTGTCCTAGAATTGCTAATAATGGTGTAGGCTTTGTGATTGCAGATAAGGCTCCTCTTATTTTTGCTTTATTTCTAGCTATAAAACTTTCTGTATAAAAGACTCTAGAATCTTGGGGATCTTGCTTACCACAAATGCTTTTTCCTAGTTCTCTTTCAATCGTTGATTGTAAAAAATCAGCTGGCAAGTCATAATGTATTGTCAACTCTGATACATTGATAAATCCATGTTGCATTAATTTGTCATTGATTTCTTCTGCAATTTTGTTTGTATACGTTTTATCAATAAGCTGCCCAAGTATTATCTTTAATCCTTTATTATGTTTTTCTAAGTCACTTGCTATTTTGGACACTTGAGACAAATTAACATTGAGGATTTGTGATAAATCGACCATGTTGATTCTTCCACCATGAATGTATAATTCATCTTTAATTTCCTTGCCAAGATGTTGAGGTGTGATATATTCTTTACCATCATTGGTAAATATTACATCTAATAATTTACTTTCTATTAGCTTTGTTACAATTTCCACACAATTACGTTCTGACAACCTACATTGAATATTAAAAGATATTGTATATGAGAAATAAAAATTACAATAAAATGTATAACAATTTTTAATCAATTTACTCAATAGGACAGATTATTATATATATAAATAGATTATGTAGTTAATTATAAAATTTGTTGTGTTATATAAAATATATTAAAGTATATCAGGTTGATTGAAATCTTACACATATAAACTAATTTAGGCTTATTTAATTTTACAAAAAGTGCAATTTCATTCTACAGCTGTTTAAAATTATTTTGTGACAATTGTTACTACTAATGTAATGTAGTAAAAAATAGAGTTATCTGTGTTTCATGAAATTAAATCATACTTTTGTAGAGTAGAACTTAATTGAGCTTTTTGAAAATCAGCTGCTAGTCTTTTAACTTCGTCCCAGTCTACAGTACTCATTTTAAATCTTTGTAGTTAAATTGCCAGATTGTACACTTGACACTTTTCAATATTGATTACAAAATTCATAGAAATACTTATGTAATGTCAATTTCATATTTTATTACGACATCTAGTGTATGTTCAGAGAACTACATGTAAGTTAAATTAATTTCAAAATGTTTTAAAGTCATTAAGTTATTGTTATCGTAAGTGATTGTTATTGTGAATAAGAAAGAAATGTGTTTTAAAAGTCGACTCAGAAAATTAAGAAGTGTTATAACTTTGGATGTTGAATGTAAGTATACAGTTTAAGACTAACATGTTGTTATATTTAAGTAAAAATTTTTTTGTTTTCTCTGATACAAATATTTTATAACGTAAAAAGAACTTATCAACTTATTTATAAATAATAATTTGATATTTAGCATTGTTTAATATAAGTATAGGGTAGAATTTCTTTAGAGCTAGACTCTAGATGATATCAGGGATTTTTGGTGAAGAATGTTTTTGGGTTAATTTTTAAGTTTGGTTATGCACGTGTATTTGAATATATTGTTACTTTCATGTTACGTTAAAAAATGATTAACTTAAGTAATAAAATGTATTTTATAGTACAACATTTATTTTAAAATCTATTTTATTAGATCATACTGTGAGATGTTACGAAATTGTGAGGAAATATAAGGTTAGACGATGCATGTCATTTTATTGATTAGATTTTCTATTCTGTTTTATTGATGTAATATCACTTGATATAATTAATAATATGCAGTTATTGAAATTAACCAAAAGTATTAATTGTTTTTCATTAAAAAGTTTCTGAAGATGTATAGTGAATTAATTGTTCATGTACCTATTTGATATTTTATTTGTCAATATTTGTTGTATAATTGAATGGTGACATTATACAACTATAAATTATATTAAAAAAATAGAGATAAATAGATTGACTGAGCAGTATGGCCTCAATAAAAGTGCTTTTTCTGTTATTACTTGTTACATGTAACAAAATGAATCAATTATACCATTGATTTAACTATCATCTTTATGTGATTTTATATTATATTTTATTTTATTTTAAAGTTGGAATTATCATAAATCATATTAATATAAAGTCACAAAGGATTCATTAATGACATTATATAATCATGAAACATTCATTCTTATTTAAATATTGGTAATAAAATATTAACACTTTGAGCTCTTTCTGATAACAGTTTATTATTATATTATGTACTGTATTGTGTATTATATTATGTACTAGGAAAGATTAAATGTTGTTCCTAAATGTATTGATTGATTTTTAATGGCTAGTTGTTGAGCTCTTAGTGTTAACAAGAGTATTATTGCAATATTTTTTATAGTACAGCAGTGTCACGAAATAAATAATGTTTATATATACACACTAAACTAATATTGTAGTATGTAAGTAAAAGTAATTGAAATTAGATTATAGGTATTTCATAATTATGTATAAGGCCTCTGAATATTTATGTACAATACAATACATACCTTTTTATAAGAATTATCCTATTATCTTAGTTATAAATAACAATAAAGTCATCTTCTAATCATGTTGTCATTATTATGATGTTTTTTCTTATACATATTTATATTTTATATATGTTGTCACATACATTAAGACTATTATTGTTATTAAGTTAAAGTATTTAATATGAAATTATAGAAAAGAAATTTTAATTTTTCATTATCCAGTTATTTATATTATGAATTAAACTTGGGTTTTTCTTTCAATAATTCTATTATATATAATTCTACTTTTTTTGATCATTCATTATACCATTATGTATTTATTATGTATTCTTTTTTATTTATTTATTGAGGCCACTCAAGTTTTTCTTTTTTGTTATAATTACCTGTAGGATTATTCTAAAATGTGTAACTACATAACTACATAATAATAACGTTAATTAATAAAAATAATAATATAATTAAGTATATTATATTATGTATTTAAAAATATTAACTAGGATATTTCTAACACCAAATTATACAATAGTTTTTCTAATTTTCAGTCGATTATTTATTTCTGAGTTAAGAGAAATTGCATAGTCAAATTAAGACGGCGCATAAACTTTATTTGTAAAATGTAAGTTTGAATTTTTTTACAATTCGAGAATTTAAATGGTAACATACGAAATACATAGATAAAACTGAAATAGTTTTTAAAGTTTCTTGATAATGAATATATTATAAATGTACGGTATAAAGTGTATATAATCCATTAATATTTTTTAAACTCCGCTTCATTATATTTAATGAAGAAATTTTACGATGTACATCACAATATTCGCTTTGAAAATTCAAAGAAACCAGTCGTGAAATACATTTTTTTTATTGCGTCTCTAATCAGCTTTTAAATTTCGCTACTTGCATTTTTATGTCCGCTGTTTTTTTCCACAAGTTTTATGATTTTCGAATTATACAAATAGTAGTAAAATAATTATTAACTTTGAATTATTTTGTTCTCATCATAATTCCTAGATTATCACTCATGTGAGGGAGAGGAAGAGAGAGAGAGAGAGATTTTATAGCTGTATTGGATATAATACGAAAATATAGATATGTTGAGGTAGGGTTCTATATCTATTCAGAATCCAGCTATTATTGTTCGAGAAAGAGTTCCACTTACTTCGAAATATTGTATTAAATATTTTTTACAAATTGTGTTAAATTTTAAATTCTCAAAATTACATCGATTTTCTATTGAATAATCCAAAAATATTACGCCGGACTGTACGACTATTCGGCACAGTTCAATTCCATTGACTGAATGTAGAAAGAGGATTTCGCTTAGCTATACAGATATATATATATATATATATATAGCAGCCAGATCGTGAAAAATATCGAGGTGGACGCCTTCAGGAAACTATATCACACATTGAAATAGCAGCCGAGAGACGACACCTCTTTCCTCTTTGCCCATTGCTTTCGCGTTTGCTCGGCCGTTATTAGCGCGTTAGTCCTCTCTTCTTAACACGGAACTTTCGACCTCTCGTACGGCTGGCGAATAACGTTGGTCACTTCAGTTTATGCCCGACCCTGTTGTCGGTTGGATCGGTAGAGGGATCGCGGAGAGAGTGGTCGTCGACGAAGAAGACGATCGACGCGACAAGACGCGTGGACACGCGTTATCTTCGCCGCAAGCCCACGCTGAGCAAACGAAAAATCTGGTAAACTCCATCATCGACGCTACTTTCCAATTCTCTTCAATCTCTTCCTAGCTAAGTTTGTGTGTTTTTCTCTCCTACTCTCTTTCGCTCGTTTATTCTCTCGTCATTCTCTACCACCTAGCCGCTATTGGCTTTTTCTATTCTCGCTCGTTCGCTCCGTGTTACTTTCCAATAGTGTTACGTTCCGATTTACGCAGAACAGAATAGCTAGACATACGTTCGTCTTTCAATTCTGGATTCGAGCACGATGAACTTTTCGGTGATGATTTACTATACCGTGTCATGTCAGCGATTTCGTTCTATGACCTCTCGTGTGCTGAATGTTGACAGAAATTAGAAGCGGACGCATTAAGACGATTAAAAGCAATGCGATCTTCTGCTATAACCGGTCTCGTGTATTGTGCTCATTATTGGTCATTTTTCTTTTTCTTTTTTTTTTTTTTTTTTGTAGTTTCTTATCCTCGCTTCCGTGTATGCACATTTTTGTTTATCAGGAACGTCATACAAGTGTGTCTGATAACACTGATAACACGTAAATGCTGCTAGTATATTTGTTTTCCATGTAGAATACTTTTGACAAGATTTTCAAATTAAAGTTGATCACGAAAAGATTAATGATTAGTAAAATAGTTTAAATTTTATTAATTATATTTTATATTTCTTGTGCATATTCAATTAAGTAATTTGCATGTCTGATTGCCTTCGCGTATTAATACAATTGTTTATGATTTTGTATAACATGTTCGCCTAGGATGAATTTTTTTGGTTAATTAAATGGAGCTCATCAGCTGATCAACGTAGGCTCCAAGTTGCTCAGCTTTCCTCAATTGGCTATCCTAACTACTTACGTGGTGTAAAGTGTAATTAATTTTCATTTAGAAGTTTAACTTTACCTATCTTCCTTAATTTCATTTATAATAATTACTTTTAATAGATATCAGTACGAAAGCGAATTCTAATAAATTTAGGAAACATTCGTAACTTTTATTTCTTTTTTTCTGGAATTTCATATAGAAAAATCTGTTTCAATATAATGATTATTTTAATATTTTAATATTATTTTAATGTTTTCAAATGATTTTTATATTGCATGAGAAGTATTTTTTAAATTACATGCATGATTAAAAATATTCATTAAAAACATTCGATTTTTATTTATTTTTCCTATAGATGTAGAATTTCTATGGATGTAGAATCAATTATGTTCCGTGTAGAATGTGTGAGGAGGTTAATCAGTGAATTATTGATATGAGAGTCGAAGTATGTTATATACTTTACATGCTTGATCCACTCAATTCGAATGCAGATTAGTGTCAAGGTCAAAAGTAGTAGATTTAAGCAAGAAGTTTATTGTTATACATTACTTATAAAACAGATGCACGTTTTAAAAACTTGTATTTATTATATATGTTACGAGACATTGAATTTTGCGATTTTTATCTGTGTAGAAAGAAATATTTCATTAAATTTTTTACAACCTCATATTTTATTTGCACGTCGACTGAAAAGTTTATGACCCAGAAAATTTAAGATACCTGTGGAAATGTTTCATTTTCTGTATTTTGTAGTAAAGTACAGTTTTTTTAATAAGAAAAGATGTTTATTTTTCATTTTTAAATTTTATTTATCATATTAACAATTAACAATTATTAAAGCTTTCACAGAATTCTACAGAATTCTGCGGACCTTTCGTTTCTTTTTGCATTTAAAAGAGTTTAAAAAATTAAGTTTGAGATCACAGAAAGAAGAGACGAACAAAGAGTGATAAAAACAATTTGACATTTCTTTTGCATTTTATATTGCAAGCGTATGCTCACCAAACGTATATATGTCTCACAACGTGCTTACATGTATCTTATTTACACGGAAATTTCGCAGCTGTACAGATTTACCTTTCAAGTTCGATTTTACGCGTAAAGTAATCTTCTTCAATTTACTAATCTTGAGTAACACAGAGTGCACTGACAGCGCAAATGAGGAGGGTGTTTCGTTGTTCTGGTCGCGTTATGCCACGTCGGCAACTCGTAATTATGATTTATGTACTAGGGAAGCTGAATTCGCCAACTTCTTCGAAGAACTTGGCAAAAGACTCCTCCGTTTCTTTGTACGCAATTGTTAGTTTTCTCTTCTCAATAACAACTTCATTGTATTATTGTTGCTTCGAGGCTTCTCTTCAACTAGAATCGACCGTTTAATTTTAATTGGTTCGTGCTGTTTGACCCTCCTCTCTTTCTTTGTTATCGCAAGTGATTTTAATGTTATCTTTTGTCGGTTTAAATTCGATGATTAATTAACGCTCACCGAATAGCCAATTACGAGATCAACTTTATCCAGCTTTCGGGATCACGGTTTGAGGAATTATTTTTTAACTGTGAAAATAAAAGTGGCGATGTCTGTAAAAGGGAAAATGAGTAATCGGAAGATTAAATATAGAAAATTTCAACGAAAATTCGTATTTCAATAATGTAGAAGATATATAATCATATTAATATTAAAAAGACTTAATAAATCGGCAAAAGCAACTTTCTCTTACGCAAGCTTGCACATACTGGTATAACACTAGCGTAACATCGTTACCAAGGAGAAAGATTTCGCGTTTTAATACGCGATTATAGACCAAAATGTGGGCATAGATCAATATGAATTTACGGAAAAGAAAATTTCACTGAATGACTATCGATTTCGCATAGACTTATTGATTGAAAACGTTGTAAACTCTAACAGGGGTAGATTCTTCGAGTGGTACATAATCCACCATATGTGCAAAAGTTCTAGATAATTCTTATATATCAGGATATATTTTTAAAGAAATATTTTAAAAAAATTGGGACTTACGCTCGTAATTTTTGGATGTATCTTACTCTGTCATTACTATTTTTGAGAAAGTCTTTCTACAGAAATTTCCAGAAATTAGTTTATGTAGAATTGCACATCTGCCAGCCAGATAAAGTTTCATTAGTCCCTCAATAGTAATATGTCATAAACTCGCAGTTTAGTCCATCGGGAATCAGCGAACAGAATTCCTTCTTAGATTCGACTTGCATTCCTAGCCTGATGACTCGACTGAGCAAATATTTGAAGAGTTTATTCCGTATAAAGAAACAAATTAAAAGCAAACATTTCAGATCTTCGAAATGACGTTACCAACAAATTTTCTTAGACACGAGTCTAACAATCAATGAAAAAATGCAAATCTTTATGGATGAATTTTATAAGTCACGTTGCATTGGATACATTTGCAAGTTATATGTTTCAGCAATAATAAAATTTGGTTTCTTCGTTCAAACGCGGCCATAACGGTGTCTGTCTTCTAATTCTTCTAGAATTAAACAGACGCGCATATACGCGCCACTTTTGATCATTATAAATTAGAATACAAATACCACCGTTTAATGTTCTTAGAAAGTTCTTTGCACTTCGTTACTACGATTGTACGTGTGTCTGGTCCTGGTATGGTGTGCGTGTCAATCGAAATTTGCAACATTCTTAACTTGGTATGCTTGCCTGTTTTTATTTCTCTATTAATCGGGGATTGCCACTTTGTCGCGTGAGGCGACATTGTATAAGAAAGTCGCACATCAAGATAAATCGTATTCACACGGATTGGAGTGATCATGCTCTATTAACCCTTCTATTAACGCGAAATGGAAACGGAATTGCGACTTTCTTCCTGCTTCACACTGTAGCTCGCCTCTTCTGGAAAATTTATTTTCAAATCTTCTTCTTCTTCTACAAATATTGTTCTCTCTATATAGTAACGTATTTTTATTGCACAGTATCAGTCACTTGTTTAAACAGTGTAGTATTATAATTTTTGATCTCTATTTAGTCTGTCTTTTATTTTTTTTATTTATAAAAGTTGCAAGTATATCTTTTTTGCTGAAAATTGTATCAATATTTCGAAATTTCAAAGCCTTAAATAGAGTCACAAATTCAATGTTTGTTCCTTATATATTTATAGTATATTTCAAAAATGTTTGCACACAATTATTACACTATCGATAATTATGCGACAAAGTGAAAATTAAATTAGTGCTGTTGAAATATCGCATTGTACATTTATCAGGATCTTGACATTAAGTTGTGGATTATTTAAGAAGACAGAAAAATCCTATGTGATATAAATGTATAGCGTAATGATTTATGTGAAATAGTTAGAAAATTTATAGAAATCTTTATTTTAATTTTTGTTAGAATAGACTTTGATTTATTTATTTCTTTCAATGTTTTAATAGAGTAAGATATGTATTTCGCGATTTATCCACAACTACTTACGCCATTGGTTTTGATATATTCACTATTATCGTCATAAATACGCGCATGAATATGTACAAGGTTGATGCACATTTATCAGCACGTGATAAAATGTGCGAATTGTTTAGTACCATGTATACCATTTCATGATACAGTTGTTCTAACTTTTTCTTTGTTTCCCGCATTGTCTCTCCCTTCGATTTTCAATGATTTTCAATGACGAGTCCAACAAAAATTAATGCAACTTGAAAATGAAGTTATAGACATTCTTTAAGTGATAAAAATATTTATATTGAATTTTGAATATTTTTGTCAAGTAAATGTAATAAAAGTTAACATGTTCTTTGCAGACATGTGTAATATATAATATATAAATATATGTAATGAATTGGGATTGGAAACTAAAATTAACATGTAGCCATAAAAATGTACGTGTTTTGCATAATACAGATTATTTAATATATTACTTAAGTGCATGTGTCATGTTTTTTATCGGACAAATGATATGTTAATTGTAAGTACATCAAATAATATAGCGGATCAATGAACTTTGACATCGTTTTCTGATATTTCACGAATGCCTCACCAATGGAACAAAAGATCATTCAATATTTGCTACTAAATAGATTAGATTTTTCAAACTGATTGTAATAAATGAATGAAAGCTAAATTCATTCTCAAACTAAAAAATTTGTACGTAATATAATCAAAAATAGTTTTAGTTATGGTAGGAATTTCAAATGAAATTCGGTACGTAAATATTTGATAATGGTTAAGATTAAATATCACGTTCCGGATATACCAACATGTGCCTTTGACGTGACTTCTCGTTGCGGGAACAATAATTCAGCGACAGCAAGAGTACGTTTGTAATGAATTACAGACACGTCAAGATACACGTCAAGAATTCCCACAGGGAGTAATATTTTATAGTTGTTATTTTATTATTGTACGTAAATTGATTTATCGTTATTTGGAAGAAAAAGACATAACATTCCTCGATCAGCAATTCTTTAAAAATAGCCTGCAAGAATTTATACCACCGGAGGTGTATTTTCCAAATAAACTTTAGAAGAAACGTTTCACGTTTATAATTTTACTCTAATTATCTAGACATTTTTGTCTTTCCCTCTTTTTCTAATCGACGAATTAATTATTTCCTCATAATTTTTGCCATTTCTCGCTACAAACTAAGACCATCACGGTTTCTTTTCTTCTAAGAAGCTTTAACTTTTCTTTCCTTAATGTCCCCACAGATCACGGATATCTTCGGCAGAAGCGCACGAAAAGCTAAACGATGACAATCGCGGAGAACGCGGCGGAGTCGAAGAGGAATTCAATGGTCGTTCCTAACGCGAACGACGGGGTTCTTCAGGACCTGCAACGAGGTCCAGAAGAGACCTCGAATTCAAGCACGGAGGACAACCCCCTTTTAGTGACCGATCGAAAGAACTCGTCGGTGAAAATCGACATGTCCATCTCGAAATCGAAGAATACGGATAAGGATGAAGATGATCAGTCGGCGATGATCGCCTTGAGGAAGGATGTTGATGATCGAAACGCGATCGTTCCACCGGATGGTGGCCTGAGAGCATGGATGATCATGATAGGCAGTTTCGTTATTAACGGTGTTCTGTTTAGTGTCATAAATACATACTCATTGATCTACCTCGAGTTACAGAAGAGTTTGCTAGAATCTGGAGAAACGGCGGCATCTTCAAAGGCGGGTGAGTTCAGTAACTTTTCATTATCGATATTACCTTAGGTATTTAGAGAGAGGAGTTAGGAAAATTTTGTTTGAATAGTTCAAATCGTGCAAAGTAACTGATAATTGATAGAGAACATTTTATGTAAGTAGTGCAAAATTTGCATTAGAGGGAACAGAACATAATATGTATATAGAGAGAAATATGCTGTATACATATATGATGATTATAAACATTTGCTTGAATGTATTGAATGCATATACGTATTTAAGAAGCGTGTTGAATATTTTTGTGGAAGTATATTTCTCTTCCGTTTGGGTTAGGTGAATCAGTCATTAATCTGTTCAACGATAATGTAAATGATAAGATAACGATTTACAATTAGTTGCTTTTTCAACCGTGGCAGCTTTCCGGGTTTTCATACTTTATTAGTAAACTAGAGAATATCTGATATTTATGTAAATTGATGTAAAAAATATAAATTGATTCATACGGAATACAGTTACTATTTTTTATTAGAAATATAGAAATCATTAATTCAAACGAAATTAAATTAAGTACACTGTATAGATCGTAATATTTGTGAATTCTATTTTATATTTTGATTTTATATCATGTCATAGAAAAAAAAAAAAAGAACTAAGATTAGAATTGTAAGAAAATATGGAAAATCGTGTTCTTTTATATTCACTGTGGTCAATCATTGTTCCAAGCACTTGCTCGGTGCAGTCGATGAACCGCGCGTTATCTATTTTTATTATTTATTAATTTTTATATTGATAATACGGTATCTAATAGTTGCATTTGCAGATCATTGAACTGTAAATAATTACTGCAATAATATTAAATTGACAATATCTTTTTTTCAATGACACTTTTAAGTAACTATCTTGCACGTTTCATGTCCGACTGAGTTATTGACTCATAACATTTTTACAAGATTTAATGTAAAAAAAAAATTACTTTAAAATCTAAATTTATCTCAGCAATTATTTACAGAATTACTTAATTAAAAGTTTTTTTTTTGTCAATTTTCAAATGAAATTTTTCTTTAAACAGAAAGAATAATTCTAGTATAGATTACATTCAAAAATTTATTATTTAAAGCTGTAAAAAAATCAATTAATTGACTATTAATTTATCAGTTTGAAAAAGCACTGGATTTTTAATTGATTTTCATTAGTTTGCACAAATTACGTCAATTACTATCGGACAAATTAAGAATTAATTAACTATAAAACGAAAGAAATAGCATCATATTCTCTTTATGAGCACTAAATAAAAATAAAGTCTATCTATGCATCACTCAATGTGCATTTGGATGAATTAACAAATAAGTTAAATCAAGCAATAGATGATCAATGAACGTTCTAATAAGAACGGCGTACGGTATAATTGGATCGTTAATTCGTCCGTGGCCTAAATTTGACGTTTCAAAACTAAATTCTATTGATGTTTTCTGAGACTTAATTATTGTTAAGTGAAGTATGGAACAGTTACTTTGGGTAGCGTATCAATTAAACTGATCGATCGGACTAATCATCCGTAGAGTCAATGCCCTGGACAACCTGGATCTAAATTAATCGGCAATTACATGAGCATTAATAGTAACGAGGGTCAAATAATATTAATCTAGGGGTAGTTACTCTTGAAAGTAGAACTAGATCTTTACTAAACAATACGAACTCTCAATGACATTTAAGATCATGGATAAATGATTATTCTTGCCTGTTATTGATGCTATATTTATTCGCGTTCATTTCGTTTCGCGTACTTTTGTATTTCGATATTTCTGCGAATATTTTCACTTCGGTCTGACTAAACGTTGATTTATTCTAAAATTTTGACAGAATTTTTATCACTCTTTGATATTTTTGCGTTATTACAGTAGGTTACTTGGCAGTTGAAATTTTTATATTAATTTTTAACTTTTATTTTTTAGTTTGTCCAATTGAAAAAATCTTTTAGCATTTGTGAAATGTTTAGTAGAAATTCTTTAATATTGTTCCCAATATTTTTACGTCCGTATCCAATTTCGATCTCGTTTCAACAAACAATATCTAAGATTTAAGAAAAGAATTAATTCGAATGGAGATTGAAAATAAAAATAATACAAAAATAACTCAATGGACGCAACTGGGTTAAGATCTAATGAGAAAAATCTGTTTATTCTGTTTTATTCGAAATACGTTTCATTGTACTGTATGGAATTTAGTATACGGTAGAAAAAGCTTGAAAGTAACCAATATCAAGATCAAAGTAAACGTTTCGTTGTACATCGGGAGCGTGATGGAACTTTTGTTAGCAGAATTTCCATCGTTCGAATATTCTACAAATATCGGGATATTCTGCTATTCAAATATTCTATTATATATGTATAAATATATATATATATATATATATATATATATACAACGCTTTTTTGAGAACGTTCTGTATCCTGTTTCTTTCTGGTACTATTTCCTATAAATGGAATTGCGACACGTGTATGTGTGTAAAAAATAATTGTAAATAAATCGACGAGCCAAAAAGAATATAAGTTTTCGTATCATTTAAGAAAAAGGAAAGACTAAAAAATAGTTTTGTATTTAAATTAAAATCTCTATCACACGGTTCAAATAGTGAAAGTTCCATCGAACTTTGAAGCATTTTCACACTTGCCGAAGTTGTTAAAAAATTGTCAGAAATTGTGGAAAGTGGTCGTGCCTTTGTTTCAGCCTTGGTAGGGTCGTTAACCATCGGCACAACGTTCTTTTTGTCACCGATTTCTGGCATTCTCACCGATAAAATTGGCATACAGATGACCACGTTTTTGGGCGGTGCTCTCGCGTCCAGTGGTATGCTTCTATCCTCACTATTTTCTAGCCAGGTAATTTCTTTCTTTTTTTTTTTTTCTAAATTGACTGCCGTTAGACTCGCGACTCGATATCGACGTTTAATTGAATTTGTTATTAATTGAATTTGCATTATACAAAATTTCAATTTGTTAGGGACTTTTTTAATTAGTTTCTCCATTTTCCTGTTCCCGTTTGTTACATTCAATTATTACATTCAATTACGAATACAAACTCGTCCATCATATCGCTTGCATAATTAAAACCTCATATCCGAAACGTATCGTATAGAAATTTGTATCCGATGTATCGCGTATAATTTGTAAATACATAATTTATTTAAACGAATCATTTACCCCTACATTGTCAAGGAGAATAATTTATTTCTTGGTGAAGCATCGTAACAAGATTGAACAGTATTTAGCAGAGAAAATTGACCGCGATACGAAACATTAACGCTGTTGAACGTTATAGTACCACTTTCACAAAGAGACATTATTACATGATGTGTTACAGCCTGGTATTCCCGTTGTCATAATCAACTGTAGTTATTTCTGGAATCGCTGTGCTTCAGGTGTCATTACTATATTTGACCTATGGAGTGATGTACGGGCTTGGTGCTAGTCTTGCCTACACGCCGAGTCTAGCAATCCTGGGGCATTACTTTAAAAGATACTTGGGTTTGGTCAATGGCATCGTCACGGCTGGAAGCTCTGTATTTACCACTCTAATGCCGTATTTGATGCAAGCCATACTCCATCGTTTCGGCCTGGACGGAACGTTGAGATTCTTGGCCATGCTCACCGCGATTGTCATGGCTTGCGCCATTCTTTTCAAACCAATTCCACGTAAGTCTGATTTTCCTTTGCTGTTCGTTGCATTATTGCTATTATTCACTTCATATTTTCTTCTATTTATATTGATAACGCTCAATTTGCGTAACGCTGGCGACTTCTCGCGCTCGGAAGAAACTCGAAAACGAAATATTTCGTTACGCGCAGAGATTAAGCGTTGGTATTTTTCCAATGAAAATCTTTCGATCGATCCTTTTCTCCTGATGAAATTATCTTCCAAAAAATAAGTTATCCATAAAACTGCAGAGACTTTTCAGACACTTTAAAATTTTTAAGAGCATAGTTAAGGAAATGAAACCAAGTCTGAAGTCCCAGACTATTGGTTATAGTTATTTTTTTATCGTCAGTGCTAAATAAAATCGAGACACAAAAGCCACAAAAGTCGTAATTACAATTCTTCCAGTTACACCGGTGTCACGGGAACAACTGAAATCCAAGTCGAACTTCAAAACCTGCCTAAAACAAGTGATAAACGTCTCGATTTGGAGGAGGAAACGATACGTGGTGTGGGCTAGCTCGATTCCACTCGCTTTGTTCGGGTTAGTATTACCTCGACTAAACGAGCAATCATCTTAACACGTACGAACGCTTTCTCCGCAACGCGAACCTCAGCTCGCGTGTGATTTCGTTTTTATCTTGTTGTTAAATCGTTCGTTTTGATTATCGATACGCGACCGTTCGTTAACATTGAGACAATCGGGGCTGTCAGTTAAAATTTGGCAATCAGTTAGCATGTACGTCGGCTTGACGCGCACGGTTACGAAAGAAAACTTGTTTCTTAACAATCTAGTTACACGGGGCTTGTAATACAAGCTTGTAAGAAACAACTGCGGGCGAAAGCGGCTAAAGTGACGAGTATTAAGTGACTAACGTTCCTTTCAGGTATTTCGTCCCGTACGTTCACATAGGGAAATTTGTGGAGACGGTGTTCAAGGATTCTGACGGCAAGCTGCCGATCATGTGTATCGGCATCACTTCCGGTATAGGTCGTCTTCTCTTTGGATATATCGCCGATCTGCCGAAAGTGAACAGAATATTGTTGCAACAGGTAAATCGTTGATACCTTTTGGCCTTGTTCGAGTAAATCATTCCAATGTCAAAAAGCTCTGGGAGAGTATTAAGATCGTCGAAGGGCTAAAAACGGAAATTTGTTTAAATAAGTAATAATGTCTTTTCCGGCCTTTCGAACATTTTTTTACCGAATGTATTTGGATACATGTACAAAATATTTCAACGATACACGATCTAACTATGTTTTTTGATCCAAAGAAAACTTTTATCTGAAATATCTTTTAGAGTAAGTACTTTACTGATTCTGGGTTCTAATCATTTTCAAATATTTTCGTTTGCTTCGAATGATTCCAGATATCGTTCCTCAGTATCGGTGTTCTTACAATGTTACTCCCCGTTACGCGTTCGTTTATGTTATTGTTGCTCATTTCTTTGGCCATGGGATTATTCGATGGTTGTTTCATATCCCTTTTGGGCCCCATTGCATTCGATATATGCGGTCGAGAAGGAGCGACACAGGCCATTGGATTTTTACTGGGCATGTGTTCTGTACCTTTAACCGTGGGACCGCCCATTGCTGGTCTTCTGTATGATCATACCGGTAATTAAATAATTAGTACATTAATTAAATAGTATTATATTCTTGCATTTGTGTTGCGAAAAATTAATACGATATTTATTTTTGAGATTCTTGTGTAACAACTAGTTGATGTTATATTTTAAAACTATAATCGAGACTTTACAATGCTTTATAAACTTTCATAAAATAATCGTCGAGATAATCAACCGTGTTAGATTTTGTAATTCGCGTAAAGTGACACGGTGTGATCTTCGTGCTCGCGCAATTGAAAAATTTCTCTCGTCGATCGCTCTCGACTCTTTTATATTGAGAACCGAGAACCTCGTTGTCCTTTTTTCTCTTGACTCTTGATCGTTTGACTCTTGATCTTCTGGAATGGACAACCTTGAAGGGTGCACGCGTCCCGAGACTTGGAAGTTCGAACGAGGCTGACGAGGGTTACGAGGTGGACAAGGTTTAGTCAATTGTTATCGACTTGTTGTAGCGCAAAGTGAAACTCGAAAAAAATTCTACAATCTCCGCGTCGTAAACCTACTGTCTGTCGCTTCGAACACGTGCTGTAAGCCGCGCAGAATTTGTCAAATGTCTGAGACAATTATTCAAATAACTAAAACAAATACATTTAAAACATTGTTTTCATCTACTTGCCGAGAGACAAAACAGCACATCTAATTTATTTCATATTTTTTGGTTTACACAGGTAGCTATGACATACCATTTTTCTTAGCGGGTATCCCACCGATAGTAGGAGCACTCACAATGTTCCTAATAAAGTTCGTGAAGGACGAAGAGCAAACTATTAGCAGCGGTACAGAGGATAAAGCTTGTCAGAATGGTCGGTAAACAGGTATTTGTGCATTATTCATATCTAACTAACAGAGTTTGTTTCTCCATGTGGTATCGAAACACGTGCGTGTCGGTTTGTAAACTGTTTTCACGAAGGCGGTTGAAACTTTCCACGGAAAGCTTTTCGGATAATATAATACACGAATCACGTCTGCTGTCGAGGGGGACAGAGCACTTGGTAAAATAAATTCAATATTTCGAGATATTACACATCTGCGCATTTTGCTCAGACTTCGTTGCCTCTATTTGTTTTTTTTTTTCTCTTTTTCTTTGTTCAATTTCTATCTGTTGACACTGCACTCCTCTGCGAATATCATTATTGCATGCTTCCATGATACAATGCATACATCACCAAAAACGCACTGATTCCTTTTGCATGCCACACATCTGCGTCAATTTTTAACAAAATCGGGAGACGGTGATTGAATTGAATTTGTTCTAGAAATTCTAGAGACGAAGGGATGTTGCACGGTTTCCCTGCATTCATGGATTTAACGAAATTTGATTTGTCACAGTAATCGAATGGGTAGCAAATGAAATTGCTTTTAAAATGTAATAGTTAAATCAGAAAGAAGGGAAGCTTAAATATTCTTTAACCTTTGTGCATTTCGTAGGTGAAATGAATGCGTTTTGTTTCTTTTTTTTTTTCTCTGTTCAGCCGTATGTAACAAAGATTAACCCGGTAATTCGAATTAATCACAGTAATGCAACCTTGCAACAATTAATTACTTATTGCACCCTGCGTTGACAGTTTAATTACGCGTCGGCTCGTTGCGATATGACAACAACTCTGTCATCCATTATAGTGCTATTCATAGTCAGTGTTTACTTTCTCATAGAGGTAATTCCTTCACTTTCGCGAATATCTTGTTTTTACGTATTAAAGACGAAATTGTAGTTAATTGTTCTTTTTAAAAAAGTAGTGGTCAATTTTACAACGAGAAGAGCATTTTATTCCCAAGAAACTTTTGTTCAGACATTAAGCTTAGTGCATAAATTTCATTTGGAATTTTATTTTCATTTATGCAATATACATATTATATTGTACGTATTATTGTTGTATAACGATTGGAAAGAAATAATTGTAAATCATACGTTATGAGAATATCCTCCGTTTGAGAAACACTGATACAGTAAAACGTTTGCAGTAGTAATAACCAGTTTGGGTCAAACACTGCTTCCACTGACCTGAACGTTGTGTTTTCGATGTGGAACGTGTTAATAAAAAGCAGTGATATCCTTTTTTTAGAATCGATACTATACATCAAAACCATGGAAAAGGTTTCATATTTTCTTCCATTTAAGTTTTTGTATCGCAGTTCTTGTTTCTCTCAATTCATGTTTATACGCTGTTATTTGAAATATAATTGCTAGAAACATTTCACTATTTATGTGTACAATAGAATATATTCTTATAAATTTTTTTTTTTTTGTAGAATTATCCATAAATTATCGTTCAAACAGAAGTAGAACTTTTTTGCTTCTCGTTCCATTTTCTTCGTTCTACTTCTTTTTCCATTACTGGACAATTTCTTTGTTTCATGAAATTTTCATTCTACTCTCTATATTTTCTACATTTTGTAAAAAGACACAATTCGTAACGAATAAACAAGACGTATGAAAACATTTTCATTGGTCTGACAGATAGAATCGATTCTTACGACCAAACATTATCTTATCATCACTGTATAAAAACGTGTGAAACGATACGTTAATTCATTAGTCAGTAGTCACTTAGATTTATAAAAAAATGTAGAAACTTTTTTCACTCAAGATCCCTCACTCAAAAACATCGTGTTTCGAGAAGTGTATCAATTTCCTAAGGGCAAAGTTTCAAAGAGAAACCTTTATTCTACATTTTTTTATTTACCTCGTGTAGAATCATCTCCCGCCACATTTCGAACGTTTCCTGAATGTAGAAACATCATTCTCCTTCTTAGCATCTCGAGGTGAACGTACCTATTTCCACTCTCAGCTAACACCTTGCACACATGTTTCGCATCAACACTCTAACCAGCATCACTGTTCCTTTTGTAAATACTTCTGCAAATTCTCGCTCTGAATCGTCGTTCACACGCAACGGTTGGTTCCTTTCTCGTTTGCAACAGTGTCTCACTTACGATCCGCAGGCTGTTCGGGCATCGGCTTTCTATCACCGTGTTTCGTGACAGCTCTCAAACACGAGCAATCAAGCTGCAAGATGACGTGTCCAACCGTCCACAGCCAACATTCGTCAGAGTATTACGGATTTCACGAGGGTGTAGTATGTCAGGATCACGGGATCGGATGTCTCGATCGTTACGGACACTCGGAGAGCGTGCCATTGCTCCATGGTGAGAATTGGTCAGCTTCCGGCCGTTTCCAAAGGATGCTACAATCGTCGACGCGGCTCACGTGCTAGTTTGCAGATACGTATAAGCGTCGCTGTTTCGAGATCTCGCGTGTCGATTTCATTGTGATTTCCTTGCATCGCGAGGATATTTTATCGTGTACTTTTTTTTTTTTTTTTAAACAATACTGTTAACACTCTGTTCGTAATTCGAAGTGAGATTGAAAATTCTGAATTTCGCAAGTTAGAAGAACATCAGAGATTGCATGTTTTTGGCGCCGCAAGCTTCGAGTTGAAAGAACGAATTAGACGATTTTATTTACACACGTTGCACCGAGCAATTCTGAATTTTGCAAGTCAGAGCCCAGGCTCGAGGCTTTTTAGTCAGAGTAGTTTGGAATATATAATTAGGACAATAAATAAAGCAAGGAGTTATAGTGTATTCGCGAAGCAGCGACGGTGATCAATAGATCCGAGGGCCACTGTCTTCGGCATCGCATAAATGTCACTTTCTCGATGTTTCTCTAGCAACGAATGTTTCTAGTTTTTGTAGTCGTCGAAGGAGATAGTATTGTTTAGCACGTTTACGGCGAATTTACGAGGAGAAATTGAATCGAATTAGAGACAAGGTTTTTCGGTTTTCAAAGTTTTCTTTGTCTCTACTTGGCAAGCAATACTGATCAAGTCAATATTTTTAGAACAGAAGGACTGATAAGTAAAGATGAAAAGAAAAAAAAGAAAATAGCCTCGATATTTTTCGATTAATGTACTCAATCGCATGTTCGTAATCACGTCGCGTTTGCTGCCTAAGTGTATCAGATTCTGTTTATTTTTTTTTTTACTTTCATCTTACGCAGTTCACGCAAATGAATCTGTACAAAAGACGCAGTGGCAAATGACTAACGTGGTCTATCGATGAAAGTGTTCTCAGAATTAATTGTAGAAAGAGTTGAAACGTTCGACATTTATTTTTACCTGCCAATTACGATACGATAGCATTTTAAGTTTCGAACATCATTATTTTATTTCACAGTAGGAACGGCGTAGTGATACTTCTCATTTTGAAATTCGATTTTTTACTAATAATTGACGATAATAAAATGACGATGTGTCATGATGTTCTTTTTGCATGATAATGTCTCTGTTTTATCTACTCTGCTCTTAATATTTTTCTTTTTCGTTGTAAGAATTTTTTACTAGATTTCTTTGAAAAGAATCCTTTTCATTATTAATAAATGTTGTGTCAAGTGTTGCAATGGAAAGTATAAATATATCGTTGTTACAAGTTGGAACAATAATTCTAATAAGAATGTTTTAGATGGCACGACGATCATAGTATCAGTTAAAAATTTAATTATTTTATATCCGACAAAAGATTTTAGTACTTTGCGTAATAATTTCTTTTTTTTCTTACGAGTCACTTTAATCACTTGGTCAATTAATGGATCGATTGGAAGGACATGTTAGAAAAATCTTACATGTTTTGTAATCTAATCACTATTCTTGGTATATGTATATACTTGAAAAATTCGATCATTTTCCCTCTGTTCGACATTACGATTAAATAATTAGCAAGGTTTTATCTAACTTACAGACCTCTTTTTTATACATAAGCAATTTGTTGGCCATAAAACAATTGATGGTACAGAGTACTCTATATATATCAATGTTAACAAAGAAAGAATGCTATTTTTCTCGTAATATTGTACATAGGATAGTTAGAATATTGTCAAATCACGTAAGAAAAAGAAATAAAGAAATAAGAATGTTATAAAGAATGTTATAATGATTTGAAAGAACCAAACCCTTATGAAATATTAATCCGTTAAATCAGATCACTTCTTAATTTATAAGGAATCAATTCTAATTATTTGAACGATAAGAGACGTCTATTAATCATTAAAAGTAATATCAATTACAAACGTTGATAGTAAAAAAGTAAAAGCAGAATAAAGGAGTTACTAAAAAATTAATATTTAAAAAATTGACGAATTAATTCGTCTTCGTGCATTGACAAATTAATTTTTAATATTATATAATTTTTGGGGGATACTAATAAACGTCGTTTTTTTTTTTTGCAATAATCCACTTTTCAAAAGGGGGGAAATTTTTTTTTTTACGAAAGATGTCGCTTCTTCAGATGCATAGTAAAGTGCAGCGTGCAGGAAGAGAATAAGTGTACAGTACGTCAATGCTGCTGCATTGTATATGCATGCTAGCACACTCCTTGCTAGGAGGATATACGATGTGCTATTTCCGTCTTTTCACAAAACTGTCAGATCATTGTACTCTTTCGCGTAAGAATAAATATAACTCCCAGTCTGTTTCCTTGAAGATGTATTAGGTAGTTTCCTCGAAATGCATCTTCGATTTTCATACGCTCGTGTCATGTTGTTCCATATCAAACTGATAAAGATCTAACGGGAAACGAGTGAAAGATATGTACCTGCATATCGAAGAATTTATTCGCTGTTATCACGTGATTTTTATCATCCCATTGAAAATTGTTTCGTTCGTTTAATATTTTAAAAGAATATGTTTTTCGCCAGATTCTTTTAAAAGAACTGCGACGAAAATTCATTTTAGTGGAATTGTTCGATATTTGTTTGCTTTTTTTGTTTCCAATTCCTTTTTCGATTTCATCGAATTTTCAAATTCCCTCTCTCTTATATTGAAGTTTCTTTAGTTTCCTTTAATCTTGTGCGATTTTCTATACACTCGCCTCAATTTTCTTTAATCCTTTTTACCTTTCACTGATACTCTTTTGTTGCATCCATTTCTACCTTGAGTTTCTCTATTTTTTTTCATCTACCTTGAATCTTTTCCACGTTTCATGATATTTCTCATTTCCATTTAATTTCTTTTTGTTCAGTCCGGCTTTCCTCGTAGTTCTTGAGCCTTTCAAAGCTTCCTTGACTTTCTTTCTCTCTCCCTCTTTTTTTTACTGGTTATTCACATACGTATTCGAGAATATTTTCAATACAGAAAACGATCATAATAAATAATATCAACGATATGATATAATAATGTAACGAAAAATAGCACAGAATATGAAAAAAATGTTCATTATCCCAGTCTCACGTTGAACGTGTTTCTTAAAATGAATACGAGATTAAGACATAAAAATTAGAGGGCCAGAGAATTTATATCTAGAGAAATAATCTATAAAAGTCGTGTCAACGATATTGAAAAAATTGTCTACGAGATTGGAAAAAAGGAAAACGACAATAAAAAGGAAGAAAACGTTTTAATTAATTACTAATCAGATGTAATCAATGAACTTTATATCGTTCGACGTGTGCGAGAGTTAAAAAAGAAAAAAAAAAAAAAAAAACAACATTCTCCCCAGTGAAAATTTCCAGCGAAATTAGTATTGAAATTAAAACCCGTACCGCGATGCCGTTTAATTTGCATTCAAAGCTTCCTGGCGCTCTGTTTAAACGACGTTGATTCTCTCTGTTTTCAAAGCATCGTTACCGGTTTTTATCTGGCGTGGCCGTTATCGGCGATGCAACGCGAAACGAATCGTTGCTCGAATCGTGACCGTGGCTGTGCCAGTCGTTCTAAATTTCCCAACTTAATTGCCCAAATTTACAGGGAGGCCGCGACGCATTAGGCGCGAGTGAAAGTTTACTGCGGCCACGGTTTAATCGCTGTTAATCCTTTTATCTCGCGTTCGTACCTTTCAATTTCCTGTTTAGAGAACAAATACGGAAGGGACACGGTGTTTGGATATCGACATTTGTTCTACCTTTTTACCTACGTATCTTTTATTTGGACTCGTCTTTCTTTCTTTCTTTCTTTTTTCTTTCGATACGCGCTAAAATCGCCCACAATCGAGGACACTGGCGCGAATTTCAACGTATACATACATCCGGGACAGCGATAAATCAACACGCTCTAAATCCACGCTCGGGTGATAGGCTAAGCACAATGTTGACCTGGATTAGAAAGTGACATATATCGCAGTGATTCGCGTTGAATTTTTAATTAGACGGACATTGAAGATTTTTGAGATGGAAGAATATTTGATCCTTAGGAATACAAAGGTATTTTTATTTCTAAGTCGATATATCTATTTTTTCTCTACGTCATATCAGTGAAAGTAATTTCTGATAAGCGAAACGTTCTGTGCGTTCTAGACTTGTGATATTAGGTTGGTGCATGTAAGATTCAATCTTACTATTTAAATGAAATCAAAATTAAAATTATGTGCGAACAATCGTTATGAACAAAGCTTTAGTGACGGTATAGTATTGACAAGACGTAACGAACGAATGGAAGCAAACGTGAACAAATGGACAGGCAATTTGTCTATATTGTCCGATGAAACTACAACGAAAAATTTCTTCTCTCCCCGGAAAGAAACAGAGTTATGAACTCTGATACTTTAACGAAATTAATAAACGAAAGAGGCATCCCGTGTCTGTTCTTTAAGCTAAGAATTAAATTTCAAAGCTAGGACAACGTCACGAGATGTCTTAGCGCAGGAAGGATTATACTGTCGTTGCGGCATCCGTGTTCAACCATTAAGGGGCTTTTCAGGATCCTATTCCCCAAGTTCCCCATCTTGCTATCGATTCCAATATGTAGATCCTGCATTCTAATACCAAATATCCCCCTGTTTGTGGTAAAATCTAATTATAGGCAGCTTTAATCATAGACGCACTAACTAGGGATTAAAGATTCCCGTCGTTTAACCATATTGATCTCCGTATCTTCCTCTATTCGCCTGTTCTCTTCGATATTCCACTGTCTTTTTATTATTTTTATTATTTTTCTCGGTCCATTTTATTCCTCTTCCTTTACCTTTACCATAGAAATTGCAAAAAAAGAGCATAGTTTGGATAACACAGGCCAGAGAGTAGTTTAAAAATTCCATTCAGTTGCGAAACCTCTTTATTTTTTCATTCTTCTCTAGTCTCTTTTATTTCCTTGTACTATTGTATCTCTTAAAGTTATTTTTTAGATTAACTGTTATTTTTGTTCTTTTCTTTACCTAGACGTTGCTCAAGGATTTTTAATACGTGCTCAGTTTCAGAATTATTCACAGATATTGTATGTATATGTAGAGTTGATTAGTGAAAGTAGAAATATATTCTGATTAATTCCGTGGTAGTCGATTTCGCCAGACTAAACAACTGGCATAGTAAACAAGTAGAAATTAATCTTGTTGCATTGCACTGGACGTTGTAAACGCCAGAAGATTTATGAGAATCGAAGTTTAATATTCCAGTCAATATCCACCTTTATCTTTTTGCTAAAGAATGCGAAAGAATCTGTGATAAAGGATAAGAGAACGATGCAACTGTGATGCAGGTGATTGAAACAAAATTAATCTCTTTAATTACAAATACACTTCACTTTACCAAATAAACATCCCTTTAACTTAAAATCTAACATAGAAAAATAACATTTTACATGCACCAATCTACGATCGCTGTCTTCTATACCTAAAACGTTCTCATCTCTAATTATTAGGAACAACAGTAAGGTGTCTGTTTGTTAATTTACATCGAGATTTATTACATCGGTAGAAATTTTCAAAATGCTCAGACTCGTATAGAATCAATGGGAAAATTGGCTATTTACTGAGAATGGTCATCCATTCGATAAGACTGTCATAGTTCGCAAAAATGATCATCCCCCAATTATTATTTATATTGGAGAAAACAAATGTTCCCACTGCTAAATAATAAAATTAGTAATTTTCCATTTCGAACCTACCACAAAAAAAGAAAAAAGAAAAGAAAAGAAATTTACTTCTCTCGATCGCTTTGCTCTTCAACAACGTAAAAACTAACGTGCAACGTTCGTCCTCCGTTCGTCGTAGAACGATTCGTCGATAAACGACAAACGATGCTTATCGCAATCACTCATTTGACCAGCACGTGTCCAGGTAAGAACGGGAAGGTGTTGTAAATGTAAACAGGCCGATTAAAGGCGAACGAGTTGGCGATGGCCAGCGCTGGATTCGAGTCGAAATCATCCTCCGGGATGGCAGTGGGTGTCGTTGGTTCCCTGGTTCGCGGTGTCGTTGTGGTTTTCATCGTCGTCGTCGTCGTCGTCATCGTCGTTGGTGGTGGCAGGGCAGTGGTGGTGGTGAAAATTGGGGGGTGGCTTGTCGAGTACGGAGGTTCATAGGCTGGTAATCCTGGCGGCCCGTAATACGCATGCAATCGATTGTTGGCGGGATTAAAGCGTTGACCATTAGGACGCCATCCCCTTGGTTTATATGGCGATAAATCTGACGTTGCTAGTCCGATACAGAGAAGCACGAGGGTCAGCTGGAAAATGGAAAAGCAATTAATGGCTTAGCTGTCGCGCGCTTTTCCTGTTGTCCTTTCGGTGGCCGCGTTCCCGGAAATGCCGGACGAAGGAAACGTTAGCAGCAGACGGTCGCTGTTGCCACCAAACCGGCTCGGAACGATCATCGTGATTGTCTAAATTGATTGCGCACCTTCGGTGTTCGACGATCAGAAGAAATAAATTGGGTTAGTTGTGCTGGCGATTCGACGTTTGAATGGAAATAATTGAGCAATAAATTCGCTAGCATATATACTTTGTGACATTCTGAAGAATGTCATAAAAATTATTTACAGAATACGAACGTGTCTGAATTTGTTCGAAGGGAAAAGCAAGTTGTCCCTTTAATTAGGTTTTTATACAAAATGTTAAAAAAATTTATCGCTCGATTGATTGGCTTGTTTATAAATTGAGAATGTTAAGCATGTAGGATGTTATAAGATTTTAAATCTAGTAGGATAACAAATAAATATTTTATGTTAGTAAAAGCAAATCTGTATCTTGGTACCAATAAAATATAATTGTAGTAGATCGTAGCAAAATATATTCTGAAGTATTCTTTGGTAACTAAAGCAATACAATTACTACAATGAAACGAACCGTAAAATGGAGATAAAAAGTTCATAATTTACGTGTCGCTTGTTGAAAAATTTTAGTCGAACGTATTTTTTTTTTATTCCTTTCGAAAATCATTACGATTTATTAAAATTCGAGATTGTTATTTTTCAACGCCCAGTATGACGAGAAAAAGCTGTTCCTTAATAAAATTGTTTCATCTAGTTCTATATTTTATATTTCAATTCATAGGTTTCGCGAATTTATATATTCATGTGTTCAGTCTGTGACTCGAAGAGTACTATTGATTTATGTGTGTACGTGAAACTGTGTATTTCAGTTTGTTCATAAATAAAGATCATCTTGTCTACTTGAAACTTTTGCATTGCGTGTTAAGAGAGACATTCGATATAAAATATTATAGAAAATGGTATAGTCAGAGATTATAAAAGTATCCTCGACATAATACTTTATTTCCATTTTCCGCAAAAAAATAATCAATTTATTAACAAAAGAAGAAAAAACAGCTAGATAAATCGTAAAAGATATTGCAAAAATTTAATTCTAATTAATTTTACATCAACTCTCTAGTTTTCTATACTCACGCAACAAGAAATTACACTTTCGAAAGCAGCAGTTCAGATATCACTAATCACTGCTATGCTACGAATAGAACGACCGATACAACGATGAAGCCATAAATTGCAAAAGAATACTTTGGAAAAATATAGATTTCATTGATATGCAAATTTCAGAAGCCACGCGTTGTTACAAAGGGTTAATGGCGCGTGGTGCAAATATATGGAACGGTCTCGATTCGAGTGTTCAATGAGATCAAAGTACGATTAATGGTTAATCATTCCCCTCGTGCATAACGAATCCAGTGTGTCTCGTTACCGTTCTCCACATTATTGCCGGCCAACACTGTTAACTCCGATCCGAAAAATTTGACTGGCTTTTGTCCGTGTCTCTCATCCGTCTTTATACGCGACACGCACGTTTATGAGATGGTGTTCGAGCACCGTGAATACGAAACAGTACGAGACGATTTCATTTCGTTTCATTGGTTATTGCTCACCTCGGTTTCGTAACTTATACGCCAGACCTATATTACGTGTCGTGAATGGTCATTCGTTCGCAAGAAGTATCACAATGGGCCACGTGACATCTTCGCGACGATTCTTGCAGGCTTTTCGTAGTAAATTCGATGAATTTATTTGGCGAACGATGATGACAGGTGCATGAAACAACGGTACATTAATGCGTGTTGTGCTTTCGATTTGTAGAGATTATTATTTTAATCGGAACGTTGCTCTTTAGTGCGTTTTACCAAAAAAAAAAAAAAAAAAAGGAATTTTTACTGTGTCTTGGTTTTATCAAAACTGTGTTAAATTTTGTATTTGATTTTAAGGATAATTGAGCTTCAAATTATGAAATTCTAATTTTATAATATAATATAATATTATATTATTTTTATAATATAATATAATATAATTTTATAATATAGTAGAGAAATTAATTAACATATATAATAGAGAAAATTGTACAAGTAGTCGAACGCAATTAGTTTTGACTTCAAGTTAATGTTACGTAATTGTCACTTCCCTCGTTAGAAGGAACTGTACAAAATGGCCAAAGATATCGTGTCGTTCTGAGTAATCTCAAACAAGACAGAGGATGTCGAAACGACGATCCCAATTCAAAGGAAGTTACGCTTTGAGTCCGATAGAGCATATTGTGTACTTTGAATTAACGGGATTCACTGCTGAAACAATAGGATAATTGTGTAGCTATTAGTCAGAGATATTGTATCAGATGTTAGAATGAAAGAGGTCTTTGTTAGACTGTTAGAAATGATCTAATTTTGCGATTTATCGTATCGCATCGTAGACTCATCATAAATCCTGTTAATGGTAATAATTCGTTGAGCCAGCTTTCTTCAGTTTATCTTTCATCTGAAAATCTACGAATTCAAGTGCGATTAAATTTACTTCATCGATTTCGAGAGTGAACACTTTTTACTAAGAAGCAATGAATTTGACATGGGACGGACAAAAGTATTCCGAAATAAGCATCCAAAATTTTACAATTTTACGTGCAAGTTCGTTCCACGAGTAAAATTTTGCATCATACGACGTGAAAATGTCAAAAAAAAAAAAAAAAAATAAGCACAGTTTGGCAAGGAAGCGAGTCACTCCGAAATACTGGAAATTGAAACACTAAATTCTGTTTCTTAAAAATACCAACTGTTTCTAATCGTATTGTGGAGTGTGGTTTAGTGATAGACTCTAATAGAATCCCAAAGTATACAGCGTTATTACGTCCAACAACTTGAATTCAATCGCCAAGGGCTGTATTGCGCAATTATGGCACAGAGTCTGGTAACTGTGCGAGAAAGTATTCGAAATATCTTTGAACAGTCGCAAGCGTTACCCATTTTGTTTTAGCGCGGAATTGCAGTTTACGTTGCACGTTACGTTCTGTAACTTGAAAAAATGTTTTACACAAAACGTGTAAAGCAAATGACGAAACAACGACTGCGTTTATATAATTATTCGAAAGATTTGCGACTGAAGTTGTTAAATTTTATGACTTTGTGATTTGCCACGAGGCAGGGTGGCTTTTTAAAAAACACGCTCACGCTCGTCTCCGTAATCCTGTTTGACAATGTAGTCGTACGAGTGTTGAGATAATAAGCTTCGTGTGAAAGCCCTTTCATAAATCTTTGAAAACCAACGCTCCTTTCCCATGTCCAAGCCGTCGTATTCATAGAGTACGCGTGAATGCAGTGCTATTCGCAAGCAGCTATTGCTATTTTCGTCGAAAATTTCGTTACAACTACAGGGAAATGAGAGGATTAAAAATACAAACATTATCCCTGCCCCGTAAGTCAGAAACTCCTTTCGTACAATTGGCCACGTACAGTGGTCCTCAAGAGTATTCGAATACGTAGAGAAGCGTCCTGTGAATATATTATGCACGTTATATAAAATATTTTGAACTTATATATAATATACACACTCGTATAATAATTATATTGATGAAAACATAAGTAGAAAGAGATATTTATTGCAAACGTGCGCCCAGCTCGATGATAAATTCTTTTTCGTGGGATTTTATTATCTACATTTCAATTTCTCACTACAAATATACATTTATATCATTCCACATACATTTTCAGATTTCGTTAATACAGCTACTGTACTCGTACTGTAATTTACATTAAACTCGTGAATTAAGAAAGCTAGAAAAATGTAACTAAGGAGTGCAATACTTTTATTCTACCAGGAGCAAACTTCTGCTTAGATTCTGAAAGTCTACACTTTACTCCATACAATTCCAAACGTCAATTAATAACGTCAGCTGTTATATAACGCGCGTAATACATTCAGAAAAATATCCCACGACGATCCGTCGCACTCGAATCGTCTCGTCTCGCGGCAAACACGCTGTTATTTGCAAACATTGGTATCCCGTATGAAATTTCGATACGGAGCGTGAACATCCCCCTATACGCGCGATAGGTAATTTCCTGCCCAGGTCCAGATGGGGGGAGGTCGTGTTTAAAACGCACCGGCGAAAGCAGCCGTTGTAGTACATAATTTTGTCACGGCTTACGTGAGCGGTGCACGTGTCCCGAATGCCGGATCCATTATGAATTCGCAAGGTTGGTCGGACGCCGGTACGCTCTGGTGCTCTTACGCGTACGAATTCGATCGGGTCCGCCGCTCGAAAAACGTGGCGTGCAAGCTAATTATCGGATTGACAAGTGAGGCGGCTCACCCGGCTCCGATCTGGATTCCGCTTGCGGATCCCTTAGAACTTGCCGGCTATCCGATCTCTGCGTGGAATCCTGTGTGCAACAACCAAGAGAATAAGTTCGAACTTATCCCCGCTGTGTAGCCAGACGTTTCGAGTTCTCGCTGGCGTTCAACTGGCCCCGAGTGGCGAGTGAGCGTGGCAGAACTGACGGATCGATTCTCCACTTCCTTTCTGCTTCTACTTGTGTCTTATCGTCGGATTTTCGAATACTTTCGTTAGGTCATTTCAAAGGGTAGCGTTCAAGCATGATTTTGGCCGTGTACGTGAAGATTGCTTTTTTTGAAAGCGGAGAAAAGTATTGATGCGATCGACGATTGTATGATGAGAGTACGCGTGGCAATTGGAAAATATTCATTTACATAGATTAAATAGATTAAATTGATAATTAAAATGAATAAAGCGAAATAATTACATATAAAAATGTTACAGTATAAAAAATATTTATGTTAATTATGTAATATAATTATAATATAAAAAGTTTATTTATATTAATTATATAATATAAAAAATATTTGTGTTAATTATATAATATAATTATAATATAAAAAATATTTATATTAATTATATGATATAATCACAATATAAAAACACTTATATAATATTATAAATATTATATAAGTTTTATATATAAATATAATATTATAAATATAAGTATTATATACAATATTATAATATTATAAGTTTTATATATAGTATTATAAATATAAAAAAAATATAATATAAATATAAAAAATATATAATATTATAAATATAATATTATAATATTATAAGTTTAGTTAGTTTTATATATATAATATTATAATATTTTATATATATAATATAATTTATATATATATATATAATATATAATATTATAAATATAAAAAAATATATTATAATGTTATAATATAAAAAATATAATATTATAATATAAAAATTGAACCAGTGCAAATCCCACGAAATTCTCGCGATAAAAAGTATTCTCATCCGACTAAAGAAAATTTACCTCGCGCATTTTCAAAACCCACGGAATTCACAAATTTCGCAACATAGTGGAATTTTTCGAGGGGAGAAAGATTAACGCGTTTCGTTAATTAACCACGTTACAAATGTAAACAAATGAACGAAGCTGGTATACACGAAATCTTGCCGCGAGTTGGGATAGAATATTTATACGAAATTTTCCCATTTATCTTCGCCGACGAAGCCCGCGCTCAAATGAATTAAATGGAATTTATCGATCTACGTTCCAATCGCGTCCACTCGAGTCCATTTGTGGTGACCTGTCGTTTCCGCTTTTCATTCTCGCCCGTTATCGATAATCCATAAGTCCCTTTGTGATAATCGCAATCTGGACGGATACGGAGGCACAGCGCACCTCACCATTCGAACGCGTTTGTCCTGTCAATGGATCAATATCTTTTTCAGCGGATGTGTTTGACATCCTGGCTGCAGTCTGCTTGGAAGGGAACGAAAGATTTCACGGGCTGGCTCCTTCTTCGTTCGAGCACAATGCACGATCCCGTTCCGAGAAATTGCTTTCGCTCTTTGATTCGTTAATGCACCAAAGCGGACCAAACTTTTGTGGCTAATCGTGCCTTCTCTGTTATTTAGAGACGATCCACCAGAGGTGGCCATTGCAGAAAATATAAATCAGAATTGAAAAAGATTTGTGTCAAGACGGAGGCAGTTCCATTTTTTTTTTTTACACACTTTTTTGTTACTGTTTTATTTACTGTAGTTCGAGATATATGCGTCAATTTTTGGAAATGACCGTCTAGAAATACTATCTTGACTGAAATTTGACTTCAGTATACTCATTGGAGAATTATTCAAAAGTTAGTTAGTTTCAATGATGTTAATCGTGTCACATAAATGTATTTCAATGATTTAGTGATTTAGATATCTTTCGTAAAAAAAATTAACTCAAAGATTCTTTTTTATGCTTCTCTAACTGTCCAACCCAATTGCCTGCATATTTGCAGTGCTCTGTTGCAAACATTTTTTATTCGATTAGCAAAATCGTATCACCGCCGCGCTGAATTCCAATAACGAAATTATTTTTATTGCGTCAGTTGTGCAAAAGTGGAAATTCGATTGATTTCTTTCTGTTTGCCTCCGTCATATTTAATGAATTTGCCCGTGAACCTCTCCCAGATTTTACTGGCACTGCAGCGAGAGGCGTGTGAAATTTAATACTGTAATTAATTACTTTCAGCAGTTTAATTAAAAGAGGACCATATGTTACGTTAATGTGGAACGGCGAAAAGATATTCAAGGCATCATTCGTATTACTTGTCACAATATTCGTTACGTTGGGTTAGTTCTTCTCTGATAAATTCACGGAAGAAAATACGTGAATCGTAACTACTCGTGGATATTTCATCTACGTTCGTTTGGAGTAGGAATGT